AGCTTTCTAAAACTAGGCCCATTATGTTCAGTATAGTTCAGGGTGGCGTGCTTGGTCCTTTTCTTTTCACCCTTTGCGTTAATGGCCCTTGCAAATGCCTTTCGGTTGGCAAACCGTTTTGGTTTGCCGATGATCTAAAGGTCGTGTCCGCATTCTCATGTGACGACCTGCCCTACTTCCAAAAGCCAGCACGGAGCGAACTTGACCCAGTAACCACCTGGAACCCCCAACCCAACCTAGATGAGTGTAGTTGGATATGCTTCGGGGCACCACCCATTCCTCTACAGTTGTCTCTGCAAACTGCGATGCTACCTAGTCTCCGTATCGTCCTTGACTTAGGACTCCGTTGCCATAACGACCTCACATTCTCTGAACATGTTGAGAACATGCTGTCCAGATCACCACCTGGCTGTTTAATTCGTAACTTTCTTAACCACGGAGTCAGGTCATTGCCATTCAAAACTTACGTCCGACCCCTGTTAGAATACTTTTATTTCACTTAAGGGAACACTCATATGGGCCACAACCTCGAGATTGAGAGTGCGCAGAGGTACTTTACATCAAGGCTACTTGGCTACGAATGTGGTCAGTATTATGCGTCTCGGTGCTCGTCCCATAATCTGCAACCACTTTGGATGAGACGTTTTAAGACCAACCTCATATTTTTTCTCTAAAGATTTTACATGAAGTATACTTTACAGTTAGTGGCGAAGTCTGTTTCACAACAGTAGGTTGCTACAGTCTCCGCAATCAGGCCTACGGTGTTGAAGCGAGAGCCTTTAAAACATCCCTAGGAGCTAACTTTTTCCCCGTTAAATGCCCGAAAATATGGAACCTTCTTCCTGTTGACATCAGGGCTTCCAGCCCAACTATCAAGTTTAGCCGTATGTTGGAGAGATTCCTATCCTCCGGCAAACTCTTCAACATACAGGGCGAATCACAACTATGTCCCACAACGCTTAGTATAATAGGCCCATTAAGTTTATGACGCTATGTACCCTGATCGTTAAATCCACACTCTTCCCATTGCATCCCAGGGGCAAGCCTAAAACAATTACGACTACTTCGTTAATAAAGTTGTCCATCTATACCTACCGCTTATTACCACCACTCGTGTGGCCCCTCAAAAACAGCATTTCCGAAAAGCAGCGAATAGCAAATTTTCAACAAGGATATACACATGAAACCTAGGACCATACATTTAATAGCAGGCATGATACCTGGTGCATAAGTTAAAATTTACATATAATTAACTTCTTTGCCTTGGTGCCTCGCTCTCTGTTTTCTTCACTCTTATTGTGAATAGAATCTTGGAAACCTGCGGGTAGATTGTGATCACGATATTTCATCAGTACTATTTTTAAATATCACTGCATTCATCTTCTCCGCAGTCGTGCAACCTGCGACGAACATCCTTATGTCATCACACGAAGATACTTCCCTGAAGCCCCTTGACATTTGTTCAACCAGTGTTCCATTGACTGGTGCCATTTCGTCCGCTGCAGCTACAAACGGGTATACTTACAACTTTATATATAGCAGCGGATTCTTTGACTTGACCTCGAAGTTCAAAGGAATTTGGTCAATATTCACCGAGCTACTGAGGGCGGTGGAGGGCATCATGGCGGCTACTGCGGACATATCTCCAGTTTTGCATAAACAAACAAAAATTGATCGTTTCATCAGGAAGGTGATATATTGTCATCAGTATTATTTATTATTATCTGTAGGGTATGTCTTGACATTTCAAAAAACCTGGAGATGCATGTCTTCTGAAAAACACGCTAAATTTCCCGAGGTGTTTCGTTCATTATGCATAATCCTTGAGTATTTTAGCCAGCGTTACCTTTTTTGAGAAAGAAGTTGCTGAGCTACCCCTCCCTTTTTTTGGGTGATTCTTTTACAAATTCGCTGGACGTGACTCCCATTTCTGCTAGATAATCTAAAAGCACAACGGAAATCCTAAGTTCAACTTAAAGTGCAATATTTGTATATGGTGTGGGGTTTTCTTTCTTTCAGACTGTGAAATTCCACTACCTGGGATGAAAAAGAGATGGTAAGCATCTTTTATAAAGAGGAATATTTCCGGGGATTTCCCACCACCAGCTATTATTACCGTACTTGGAGAAATGCTATGTAGCTGTAAATTCAGGAACAAATTATTATTGTTATCATTAAAATATCTTCGAACTCAGCTTGGAGGATACGTCTGATGACACTAATCCTGGAACTTATCTTGTTGCCTGGCAGGTCAAACCTTTATCTACTTACGCGCCTACCTGAGGCTCGCGACTAACCTCAGTACTTGCAACAATCACCAAAACTGAAGCAGCAACACGGAGCATCATTGGCGATGACCCGATGGTTCCCAGCATGTGATAAATACAGGAAAGAAGGGTGGTCTTGGTGTTGGTACCCTAGACCAACCCTGGAGACAGGTTTTCATTCAAACTACCTTCAGTTGTTCCTGGCCCTTCATCGTACGTGATGCGATCCCTGCCTTTTTCTTGCTGGCTCAGTGTCTTCGGTCTCAAATCTAGTAAACCTATGTATAAAGTGGGATTTGGAGGCTTTTTCGAAGGATCAACTAACCTGAGTAAAAACCACTTTCTGCCATATGTATCGTTTATTTTTGAAATCAATTCCCCATTTGCCAGAAGATTGGTCGGGTAGAAACGGTAGGCTTGGAAGCTATGCTACTTTTACGTAAAAAGAGTGCTTATCTCGCCGCTAATCAGCGATCAATATCGAGCTACTTTACAAAACACTAAGTTTACGGATTCGAAGTAAGTGTAAAGTTGTCTTTTGTGCCCCTTAAATACGGGGCTGACTGTGGCCTCTGAAAAATCATGCCATTGAATCTGGTTCGATGAAAACACAAACCACCCAGTCTTGGAATTAAAGAACGCCGGCTGATTGGAGACCGAGAGTGGGCCCAATGTTGTGGCTAAGTGGGAATCGTACTTTTCCCATGGCGCCAATTTGTAAAAACACAAAAGACTTCTGGCCAGAGCTCCACGAACAACAAGCCCGCAAAATTTAGGGGGTCAGTAAAAACGTGGGAAATGACTGAATCTTAAACAACTGCTTTTGGTGGATTACTGGTCACTATAGTGTCCCCCTCATCAATTAGTAACCATGGCTCCAACAAATCAGCAAACAAGAGAAAAGCTGAAAGTGCTGCGCATTTGGTAAGGCTGTAGGACAATCTGGATACTGTTTCCCTCATTACGAAAATTGATGAAACCATAAGGATACCGGTGGTCGTAGCGAAATATTATTATTACAGTTAATATTATTATCATTAGTCCCTTGGGTTGCTAATGGAACATAGGGCCTCAGTAGCAAGTCTCCACAGAAATCTGTTCGCCGAAATCCTTTGAAACTGACTCCACGACAGCCCAGGAGCTCTCATTTCTACCCGTCTGCAGTTAAAACAATGCTTCCTAGATAGGTGAAGGAGGTTACTTCCTTTAAGTTTCTCCCGTTGACGGTGACTGAAGTTGGAGTTGTTGGTGCGGTATCTTCATCACTTCTGTCTTCTCTATATTCACCTGAAGTCCCGTTTTCGCTGCCCTGCCTCTCCTGTCAACTTGTTAGTTTTCGCCTGTAGATCTTCAAGTTTGTGTGATATCAGACACAAGTCATCTTCGAAATCCAAGTCTTCTAGGTTCCTTTCCGCAGTCCAGCGCATCCCCCTCTTCTCACAGCTCTCCACTGTTTGCTGCATGATCGAGTCCAGTCGACCACAATCAGAAATATCATGGGGGATAGTAGGCAACCCTGTTTCACTCCTGTCTTCACTTCGAAAGCATCACTGAGCTTCCTATTGTGAATTACTTGGCATGTAGCGTCTTCATATAGTTGTTGAATGAGGCGAATAAAGGTTTGCGGTACTCCGTAGTAATGAAGCAGTTTCCAAATCACCTCTCGGTCGACGCTGTCAAAGGCCTTCTCAAAGTCGATAAAGTTGAGGTGTAGAGTTGACTGCCATTCTATACTCTGTTCTATGATGGTGCGAAGCGTTGCAATTCGGTCCGCACATGATTTGTACTTCCTGAATCCAGCCAGCCTGTTCCGGTCGTAGTTTTGAATCCAGTGCATCCTTAAGCCTCTCCAGGATGATGCGGCTTAGTATTTTGCTTGCTCTAGGTGGACAGGAGAGTGATTCTGCGCCAGTTCTTGCAAACACTGAGGTCTCCCTTCTTCGGGAGTTCGACAAGGTAACCCTTCTTCCAATCAATGGCCAGGTACCTTCTCTTCCTTCCACACCTTCTACAATAGTGGTGTGGTGTGAGCATGTCCGCTGTTGTCTCTGCGTCTGCTCTCAGTGCTTCTGGCGGGATCCCATCTGATCTTGCTGCTTTCCCGCATTTCAGTAGCTTTATGGCGTTCAGGACTTCCACTTTTGTTGGAGGATTTATGTTCACTTGTAGTTCAGCGGCTGGGCTGTAGGTGGTATTTGTGGACGAAGTGCAGGTGGTGGTCGATTCAAGAGCTTCTTGAAGTGGTCGGCCCATTGTTTCCTTTGTTTCCCTTCTTTCGTAATTAAATTTCCGTTATCATCTTTTATTGGTTTCGTCTGCGTTTATCTCTCCCATCCCAGATAGCAACCTGGTTATTTGATACAATGTTGTCAGGTCTCTCTTACCTGCAGCCTGTTCTGCTTCACTTGCCAATGTTTCGTAGAAGTGTCTTTTATCTTTCCGTGCACTCTTCTTCACTTCTTTGTCCAGTGTAGTGTTTTATACATTGTACTCAGTTCCTCTTGTCGTTGAGCATCCATGCACTGGTTTATATTCTGCTTCACCATCCTCCTCCCTCTCCTCTATCAGCTTCCAGGTATCCGTCGAGATCCATTCCTTGTCTTCTTTCTTCTTCCTTCCTAATACGGCTGTGCAGGTTTCTTTCCACATCTCTTTCAAAGACTTCCAGTGTTCTTCCGCACAGGTTTCTTCAGGAATGTTCCTCGATATCTCCCGTTTTGTCTTGATGGCTGACTGACGTGAAGATTTCCTTTGTAGTTTCATCCTTCAGTTTCCGAGTGTTGCACCTGAACCGCAGTCTATCACCAGCTTCCTTGAAGGCTTTTAACTTGATTTGGAAGGTTCCTTGCACTAGATAGTGAGTGGTGTGACCCTACATCTGCTCCTCTTCTTGACCTTGTGTCAAGTAGACTGCGTCTCCATTTTCTTGAGATTGAGATAAAGTCGATTTGATTTTTAGTGTATCCATCTGGTGAAATCCATGTCGCTCACTTTGTGGATATCCTTGTGCTTGAACACACTGCATGACTCCAATCACCAAATCGTTGAATGCACAGAATTCTGCAAACAATTCTCCATTCTCGTTCATCACCTCACCGAGCGCTTCTCGACTCATGGTTAGTTCTCTTCCTGTGTTTTCTGCTCCCAGTTTGGCATTCATGTCGCCCATTAGAATTTTGATATCGCCAACTGACGTCTTGTCCAGTGTTGATTGAAGTTGTCTGTAGAATTCCTCCTTCTTCTCTTGCTCTGCATTATTTGTAGGTGTGTGGCGTAGCGTTGTATGATTGTGACCTTCCTTCATTTTGAGTTGAACCTTGCTGTCATGATCCTGCAGGAGGAGATTGGTTCCCACTGCATGAGAGCCTTCGATGCTGTTGGGGACATCATGATAGCCACTCCATAACTCAGTGTGCTCGTGGTTGTCATCTGGGTGACAATATCGGAGTAGATTATTGATTCTCCAGTTGACAGTTTGGAGAGTCCACTCCCATTCCATCTGCTTTCGCAAATTCCAAGCACTTCAATGTGATACCTTCTCATCTCGTTTGCAATCTGGGCTGCCTTGCCAGCTGGGTTCAAACATCGTGCGGACATTCCATGTCCCCACGTTTACTTTCGCTTTCATCTAGGGAGAGAAGACACATCGGCCAATTGGCTTCCCGAAGGCAGGCTTTCACCAACTGGCGTCATTTCGCCTCTCCGATTCCAGCGAGGAATAAGTTTGTTTTTATTTTTTATATATCGTTTGTGCTTTGAAGTTTCTTCGGTGGTTAGATTCTTTTTGCGGGGTAGGGTTGGTAGCCCTATGCTGAACCCGGGCTTACCCGGGCTTAGGACCGGCTAGTAACTAGTGAACTAGTTAACCAGGCGGGGTTGGTGGTAGCGAATAGCAATCCGAATTCGTTGCCTTTTGATCAAAGTTTGCGAGCATACAGTGCATACACTTTTAGATGCGTTCTCAGATTTCCATAGATATGATCCCCCATCCTCCATTTCTACCAGAATAGTGGGAGGGATTTCGTCTGACCTCCAAATTCTCCTTTCACTTCGTTGAAGTAATTTACAAGACGTACATGATTGTGATTTATGTACTCTGTGGTAATGTTTCAGAGTGACCGACTCAGTATCACACTTTAAAAGTAATTGTTTACAGCAAATATTCGGCAGCCTTACTTGGTTAACTAGTTCGCTGGTTTACTAGCCGGTCCTAAGTCCGGATACAGGAGGAAGGTTGGGCGTACGGCTAACAACCCCAACCCTTAAAACCAATTTAATCGCTAAAGAAACTTCAAAGCACAAGTGTAAAAAATTAAAACAAACCTATTCCTCACTGAAATCGGAGAGACGAGATGTCGCCAGTTGGTGAGTGCCCTCGGGAAGCCGAGTTCTCTCACTGAAAGCAAAAGTAAGCGGTGGTACATGGAATGTCCGCACCATGTATGAGCCCAGCAAGATTGCCCAGATTGGAAAAGAGGTGAGAAGGTGTGGCGCAGAGGTGCTTGGAATCTGCGAAAGCAGATGGAGTGGAGTGGCAGTGGACTGTCCAAACTATCAACTGGAGAGTCAATAATCTACTCCAGTACTGTCACGAAGACGACAACCACAAGCACCCTGGGTTTCGGGTGGCTATTATGATGTCCTAAAGAACAATGAAGCCTCTCAGGCAACGAGAACCAATCTCCTCCTGCAGAATAATGACAAAGATTCGACTCAAAAGGAAGGGAAGTCACAACCATACAGTGCTACACCATGCACCTACAAATGATGCAGATCAAGAGAATAAGGAGGAATCCCACAGACAACAGAAATCAGTGCTGGACAGGACCCGACTCCAGATAGCAAAATCAAACTTCCAATGGGTGGTGTAACATGAGTGCCAAAGTGGGAGTAGACAACACAGGAATAGAACTCATCGTGGGTCAAGAAGCACTCGGTGAGGTGATGAACAAGAATGGAGAACTGTTTGCAGATTTCCGCGCATTAAATACTAGGCAACATCAATGAGGAAAGCTGGGTGGATGAACACTGGAACTCTTCGAAAGCGGCGTTGAAGGAAACGAACGTAACCGCATTGGGAAGGAAGAAGAAGGAAGACGAGGGATGTATCTCGACGGACACATAGAAGCTGATGAAGGAGGGAGAGAGAGGTGGTGAAGCAGAAGATGAACCAGTACACTTCAGTGCAGTGCAGTAATGAACAAGGAAAAGAGGAACTGAACACGATCTATGAAACGCTACACCGGACAAAGAAGTGAAGAGGAGCGCGCCCAAAGGGAAAAGACACTTCTACGACACATTGGCAAGTGAAGCAGAACAGGCTGCTGGTAGGAGAGATAGAGACCTGACAACACTATATCAAATAACCAGGTTACTATCTGGGGGATAGAGAAGAGATTAACTCAGACGAAAACATTGAGAGACAGCGAAGGAAACTCAATTACCGAAGAGGAGTAACATAGGCAACGATGGGCTAATCACTTAAAAAAACCCATGAATAGACCACCACCACCCATTGCGGTTCATCCGAAAGCATCACCAGCAACCGTAGAACTACTGGTGAGCACAAGCCCTCCAATGAAGGTTGAAGCGAAGTTCTGAACCCCCTAATGTTGTTGAAGCCCCGTAAAGCAACAGAACCAGTTAGGATCCCGTCGGAAGCACTGAAAACAGACAAAGAGATAGCACCAGACGAGTTCACACCACAACTGCGGAAGGTTTGGAAGAAAGGAAAGGTACCTGCCAGTTGATTGGAAGAATGGCTACCTTGTCAAACCCCCAAGAAATCTGAGTGACCTAAGTCTTTGCAGGAACTGGAGCGGGACCATGCCTCTGTCCACACCAAGCAAAATATTATGCCGCATCATACTGGAAAGACTAGAAAATGCGCTGGATTCGACATTACGACCGGAACAGGCTGACTTCAGGAAGAACAAATCATGTGCGCAGCAAGTTGCAGCGCTACGCATCATCATAGAACAGAGCGTAGAATGGAACTCAACTCCCCACATGGTGTTCGTCGATTTCGTAAATACCTTTGACATTTTCGACCGAAAAGTAATTTGACAGCTGTTTTAATATTACGGAGTACCATAAACCATTCAGCCATTCATTCAACATCAATATGAAGACGCCACATGCCAAGTGATCCACAATAGAAAGCCCAGCGACGCCCTTGAAGTCAATACAAACATAAGACAAGGCTGCCTACCATCACCGATAACCTTCGTGATTGCGGTGGTCTGGATCATGCAGCAAACCGTGAGGAGCAAGATGGGCATATGCCAGCTGGGCCGATGAAAAAACCTCAGAAGGAGGTCTGGATTTCTCCGCCGATGACGATTTATGTCTAATGTCGCACAAAAGCGAAGATCTGGGGGTAAAAACCAACCAATCGACCAAAGAGGCGAGGCAGCGAAGATGGGACTTTCTTCAGGTGAACGTAGAGAAAACGAAGGTGATGAAGGTACCCAACCAACAATAGCATCAACAACAAGCCCCAATCACCATCAACGGAAGAAACTTTAGAGAAGTAGCCTCTTTAACCTGTCTACCTAGGCAGCATTGTTTTAACTACAGACCGAGGCACAGACGAGGACGTCAGAGCCAGGATCGGAAAAGCAGGACAGGCCTTCATTAACCTGAAACCAGTGTGGAGATCTTCCGCACTCAGCATTAAGAACAAGGTACTCGTTTTCAACACCAATGTCAAGTTAGAGCTCCTTTATGGTTCAGAAACCTCACACGTCAAGGGAAGAATTTACAACAAACTATGGACATTCATCAACAGCTCCTTACACTTGATACTGAAGATCAAATCAGATGGCCAGAAGGAATAAGCAACAGGGAACTCTGGCAACGAACCGGCCAACAACGCATCGCCGAACAAATATGCGGAAGAAAGCGGAGACGGATTGGATTGGGAATACACTGAGTAAACCATTCGGGTGCGTCACGCTCCAGGCCAGACCCTCTAATGGAATCCAAAGGGGAAACGACCAGTTGGTCGTCCCGGCTGACGGTGACGTAGAGGAGATCATTTGAGGAAGAAGTGAAAGCTTGTTGGCAGTCGTGGAGCCAGGTTGAGCCAAACTGCAGAGAACAGAATGAAATGGCCACGTGCTTCTGTATCCCTATGTTCCACTAGGAACCTAAGGGACAAATAACAATAAGTACAATTATCTGGCTAAGAAGGTTCCAAAAAGGGATTACCATGAGCTTTAAAATAAGGTTGAAAAAGGGGTTACAGCGGTACGTTTGGAAATCTGGAAACTTTTACTGGATCGTCTGCAATCAGAAGAATAATCGTTGTTAGGTCACATTAATTTGAGCGAGCGGCATCTTCCAACCTTTGCGTCTCGTCGTTCGGATGGTCTACGATTCGTCTTTCCTGTTAACTGTAAAGGTTAGTAGTATCTTTCCCTATTTATCTGACTGGTTCAAGGACCGTGTAACGGAAAAGTTGAAGACACTTGGTGCATTCATTGATGATGAGCTACCTGACTATATCATGGTTATGGTAGCAAATAAAAAGAGTGAAAGCGGAATGGCCAAAGACTTACAATTATTCTTGGGAGAACATACCAAGAAATTCACTGAATGGTAAGAGCAGCTATGTACTTCTATTCTCTAGGCTGCATCTCACACTGGAAAATTTGAAGGGCTCAGGTCGTGGTAAGGCCTAACCATAAACACATTCACATTTCAGACTCTAATGAAAGTCGAAAAGATAGTGAAGGTGTACGTCGCTCACGATCGAAGTCTGGTAAACGGAAGATTGCAAGACTCCATTCTCCTGAGTCTCATAATGACCGTTCACGATCAAGGTCACCCCTGGAACTTATTAAACACGGTAAACGTGCCAACAGCTCACGCGAGCCTCATGGAGAAGCGGATGTTGTCGGTATAAAAGTCCCTGCTGGTAAGGTGTGTTAATAGATAAATTGAGACTTAGATACTCAAGCTCCTGTTGATAGTGAAGGATATAACGTTAAAGAAGTGAGTTGTTGTAGTACTTACAGATTGTTTAGCAGCGGAAAGTTATGTCCACTTCATCTTTGTCGAAGAAAATTAGCCAAGAAAACGATAGAGTATCATCGGATATACATGATGAAATTAACCTGAAGTCGGTTGTTGAGGTAAAAAACTCAGAAAGTCACAAGGTAATTGTTTATAACCCATCAATATGTTTACCTTGCTTTTATCATCAGTGAGCACTAATGGTTAGCTCCAATACACACAACATTTTCACATGTCCAGACGAGTTTCTAATAATCCACTTATCGAGTGAGCAGTATTGAGCTACGGCTACTGGTTAAGACCCTACCCCTAATTTTGAATCATAGTCACCAAATGCTTTCATACCGGTTTACACAACGATTGGAAGTCATTGACTTAAAGCTGTGGTTTTTTTTATTTATCCAAGTGTCCGACTTCCAATCTACAGGTCACAAGTTCGAATGCCATTCGACCTACTGAAGTTTGGGCACCCAGTGAGTGTCATTAGTGCTCACACAATTGATATTGCTTGTTGCCCATTGCACGGACTTACACGTTATTACCGAGCCCACTTATACTTTCTCATTTTCATGCACATTCAGTTTTAGATGAAGGCGTCAAATCGGTCATTTACGTGAAATGAATTCTGGATTTTTAATGCTACTGGTATTTAGCGTCTATCAGCCTTAACTATAACCACTGACTGATGTTAGGTTGAAATTTCATTGAGCAAGTAGACTGACTAGTTGTTAGGCTTTGCGGGGAATACTGTTTGGCCCTTTTGAGATCAACGAATGAAATTATATCCATAGGAAATATCTGTAGCCCCAATAAACCTACTATCCCTTTTAGATTGTTTATATCTCTTTTACCACTCATTTTATCACAATGTCCTAAATGTATTAATTCTTTAATTTTTATTCTACTTAAGTTCTGAGTGGTTTTTTGTTAAGTATTCATGTCAAAGCCAGTGCCTAACTCAGTGACATACGACTATGATGACGTCAGATTCTACTTTAATTCGGTCAAGATTATCATTTTGATTATATGAGATACTGGTGGTCAGGATTATTGAGTGATAACGTTGATTATTGCACAACTTCATACGAGTTTAATTTATTTATAACGGGCCGATTCAGCACTGCGACGAAAAGTCACTGAGGAAATATAATAGATTCTGAAAGTAAACAACTAATAAATTTTTTAGGTAGTGAGATGCTCAAGGTTTCAAAGAGCTACACTTAATGTGGCCACATCATTATGGTCGGCTTCAGGATTCCTGTAAAATAACCATCCATTCAAGTCAGCATATGACCATGCATTACTGCGTAACGGTCCGAGTTGCCACACCTCATATCAGTACTTCAAGTAAAAAAGCAGTGAAGTGGAAGGTAAAGAAAAGAAAATTCGATCGAAAGGAGTATAAAGTACGAAAAAGAGAAACGAAGAATGAGAAAGTAGTGAGATTCCGGGTGGCGTTAAGATGAGGATAATGTGTGTATGCATATGCGCCACTGACATCGGTTCTGAACCATATCACCTACAGTCTCCAACCACTGGTTTCTCTTGTCCTGCTAACCCCAACCACCTAGTCTGCATCACCCACATGGCTCAAACCAACAGTCAAACACTTCATACATTGATGCCATGTTTTAGTTTGGCCACCTCGGGCCTTTTTCCAGCCTGGACCTACTTCGGCCAACATTGTGTGACGAGGCGATCAGCGACTAGGCATACATAACACGTGCCCCAACCATCTCAGTCTATGAAGATTCATAACCTCGTCAACCGACTTATCTCTTCTCCCTAAAACTCTACACCTGACTTCTGCGTTACTCATGTGGTGATACCACGGAATACGGCCTATACTATACTACGAAGGCAACGGTGGTCAAACACTTGAAGCCAGCCTTCCCATGTCTTCCACCTTCAATGGCCATGTTTCACAGACATACAGTAGAACAGAGCGGACTGCTGTGCAGTACACGCGACTCAATAGTCAATCGGATAACACGGCGGCACCACAGGTGCCGTAAGTTGGTAAAAGTCAACTGGGCGTTTTGTATTCGTGCCGAGATTGCATCGGCCACTGAGCCACGAGGGTAGGGCTGATCCTACTTCTCAGGTAAGTGAAGGGGTTGACACACTCAACCACTACTCTCTACTGTTAGCCGAGGCACCGTTGAAGACCAATCCTGGAGGAACAGTTTGCAGTTGGATGGTGAGAAACACATCCCAAACATTCTCAAATTCCCACTCAAAGTGTTCAGAAGACTCTGCATCTTGTCAGCGTCTTCACCTAACAGGACTATGTCATCTGCATATTCTAGGTCTAACGAAAATTCTTCTGCGATTAGGTCAACGTCTGTGTAATCAGGTGACGAGAAGGAGACCTCCATGAGAATATCTATAATAAAATTGAATAAGAATGGAGAGAGTGGGCAGCCTTGACGGACACCACTCGATGAGCATAGCTCCTTGGACATCTCACCATACATTCTAACACGCCCGCAAGTGTTCGAGTAGAGAGCCTTCAATAAAGTGATGTACTTACTCGGCACGCCTTTCAGTGAGAGACATTGCCATAAGACTTCTCGATCAACGGAGTCGAATGCCGCCTTCAGGTCAAGAAATATAGCTAGTATCGCGTGTCGGTAAGTGTGCCTATATTCCAGAACCTGGCGCAATAAGACTTCGATACACCCGCGGCCAGGTCCAAAGCCTGCCTGGTTTTCTCGGGCTTGCTGTTCCCTAGCTCCACTCAGATGTCGAAGAACTATAGAACCTAGGATCTTGGAGACTATGTCCGTCAGGCTGATTCTTCTGTGGTTATCGCAAGAGGACTTCTTGCCTTTCTTGAAGACTGGAATAATCAGTGATTTAGACCAGTCACAGGGGATCATATTTGATTCTCATATACTGGTTAACAGTTCCGTTAACCTGACCAAGAGGACTCTACCACCATTCTTGTATACCTCAGCAGGTAGTCCGTCTATTTCTGTTGCCCTTTCCCGTTTCAAGTTACCTACAGCTTTCTCGACTTTGCAAGCGTTAGAGGGCCTCTCTATGTTCCATTTGGGATCCGACTGGATAGTGGGCAGTGCAACACTAGCTGGATGTAAAGTGACCAGGAGGTCTATTATTATTATGTTATTAGTTCCTTGTGTTCCTAATGGAACATAGGGCTTCAGTAGCACGTCTCCAGTGAACTCTGTTCGCCGAAATCTTTTGAACCCGGCTCCGCCACAGCCCAGAAGCTCTCATTTCCTCCTCGCACCATCTCCTCCATGTCACCCTCGGACGTCCAACTCGTCGCTTCCCATGGGGATTCCACTCGAGGCACTGGCCTGACGCGTGATGTCCCCAGTTGGCTTTCTCAGTGCATGCCCAATCCATCTCCATTTCCTCCTGCATATTTGTTGAGCGATAGGTTCTTGGTTGGTTCGTTCTCAGAGCTCCTTGTTGCTTATTCTTTCTGGCAATCCTTCTGATCTTCAGTAGCGAGTGAGCGTAAGCAGTTGTTGATGAATGTCTGTAGTTTATTGGAAATCCCTTTCGAAACGCGCCAAGTCTCTGAACCATACAGAAGCACTGACTTGACTGAGTTGGTGTTGAAAATCCGGATGTTGTTCTGCATGCTAAGTGCAGAAGATCTCCACACTGGTTTCAGGCTAATGAACGCCTGTCTTGCTTTTCCGATTCTGACTTTGACATCCTCGTCTGTCCCGCCTGTAGTTGAAACAATGCTTCCTAGATAGGTGAAGGAGGTTACTTCCTTTAAGTTTCTCCCGTTGACGGTGACTGAAGTTGGAGTTGTTGGTGCGGTATCTTCATCACTTCTGTCTTCTCTATATTCACCTGAAGTCCCGTTTTCGCTGCCCTGCCTCTCCTGCCAACTTGTTAGTTTTCGCCTGTAGATCTTCAAGTTTGTGTGATATCAGACACAAGTCATCTTCGAAATCCAAGTCTTCTAGGTTCCTTTCCGCAGTCCAGCGCATCCCCCTCTTCTCACAGCTCTCCACTGTTTGCTGCATGATCGAGTCCAGTCGACCACAATCAGAAATATCATGGGGGATAGTAGGCAACCCTGTTTCACTCCTGTCTTCACTTCGAAAGCATCACTGAGCTTCCTATTGTGAATTACTTGGCATGTAGCGTCTTCATATAGTTGTTGAATGAGGCGAATAAAGGTTTGCGGTACTCCGTAGTAATGAAGCAGTTTCCAAATCACCTCTCGGTCGACGCTGTCAAAGGCCTTCTCAAAGTCGATAAAGTTGAGGTGTAGAGTTGACTGCCATTCTATACTCTGTTCTATGATGGTGCGAAGCGTTGCAATTCGGTCCGCACATGATTTGTACTTCCTGAATCCAGCCAGCCTGTTCCGGTCGTAGTTTTGAATCCAGTGCATCCTTAAGCCTCTCCAGGATGATGCGGCTTAGTATTTTGCTTGCTCTAGGTGGACAGGAGAGTGATTCTGCGCCAGTTCTTGCAAACACTGAGGTCTCCCTTCTTCGGGAGTTCGACAAGGTAACCCTTCTTCCAATCAATGGCCAGGTACCTTCTCTTCCTTCCACACCTTCTACAATAGTGGTGTGGTGTGAGCATGTCCGCTGTTGTCTCTGCGTCTGCTCTCAGTGCTTCTGGCGGGATCCCATCTGGTCTTGCTGCTTTCCCGCATTTCAGTAGCTTTATGGCGTTCAGGACTTCCACTTTTGTTGGAGGATTTATGTTCACTTGTAGTTCAGCGGCTGGGCTGTAGGTGGTATTTGTGGACGAAGTGCAGGTGGTGGTCGATTCAAGAGCTTCTTGAAGTGGTCGGCCCATTGTTTCCTTTGTTTCCCTTCTTTCGTAATTAAATTTCCGTTATCATCTTTTATTGGTTTCGTCTGCGTTTATCTCTCCCATCCCAGATAGCAACCTGGTTATTTGATACAATGTTGTCAGGTCTCTCTTACCTGCAGCCTGTTCTGCTTCACTTGCCAATGTTTCGTAGAAGTGTCTTTTATCTTTCCGTGCACTCTTCTTCACTTCTTTGTCCAGTGTAGTGTTTTATACATTGTACTCAGTTCCTCTTGTCGTTGAGCATCCATGCACTGGTTTATATTCTGCTTCACCATCCTCCTCCCTCTCCTCTATCAGCTTCCAGGTATCCGTCGAGATCCATTCCTTGTCTTCTTTCTTCTTCCTTCCTAATACGGCTGTGCAGGTTTCTTTCCACATCTCTTTCAAAGACTTCCAGTGTTCTTCCGCACAGGTTTCTTCAGGAATGTTCCTCGATATCTCCCATTTTGTCTTGATGGCTGACTGACGTGAAGATTTCCTTTGTAGTTTCATCCTTCAGTTTCCGAGTGTTGCACCTGAACCGCAGTCTATCACCAGCTTCCTTGAAGGCTTTTAACTTGATTTGGAAGGTTCCTTGCACTAGATAGTGAGTGGTGTGACCCTACATCTGCTCCTCTTCTTGACCTTGTGTCAAGTAGACTGCGTCTCCATTTTGTTGTTTGTTTGTTTATTGTTTATTCTCTCGCACAACTTTATCCACTTTGATATCACTACTTTTCTGTCCACCTTTTCTTTGTTTACTGCTATGAAGTGTAGCAGCTTATAGTGGTGTACTTCTGTGAGGGGTTCCGCGTTGATTTTGTTTCTGTCTGCTGTTGTCAAGCGTAGTAACTTGAACTAATACACTTCACCGTAAAATTGTGCGTTGGTTTGGCTCTTGGCTCTCTGAATATTTCGGTTGCATTATTTTATATGGTTGATTTTATTTGGGTACATCCCTATATACGTTCGTTGTATTGAAAAGAACAATATTTTAAATTCCTTGGTTATCTAGCCGTATATATATTCACCAAACTAATATAACTTCTTTTAAAAATCAGCGTACAAGGACGAAATCAGAATATCCCCAACCTTCAAATCTATTGCTCAAACGAGCCATGAACGAAGCTAAAGCAAGTACAATGGCAAGTGAATCCCATTTCCAAACCCAACCAAAACGGAAACCAATCGCTCGACCAGTGGCTTGGTTAGTTGTAAAATTTGATGAATTGTTTTTTTCTTCGCAACCTCATCTGTTCCATGAATCACATACAAGTTTCTTACATTGAAATAACTGGTCAGCTTATTGAGTGAGACTCACTTAGATGATTTGTCCAGAAATATAAGTCCTTTCAGTTCTTATTGGCTAGCATCAAACTGAGACGAAAATCAGGCAAGAAAAGGAGATCTTTAGAAATGAAAAGCTGGTATTACGGGTTCCAGATGTTTACATTTCACTGGTTTAGAAAATAATTTGAACTTAACTCAGAATAATAATAGCGACCTAAAGTTGATCGGAAAAAGATATTACGGAGAAAAAAGTTTCGAAATTCAAATTACTGTGAAGGTTGGATATTAGCATGTTTCCTGGACACACTAAGTTTGGTTTCAGTCGTTCAACGATTAAATCCAGTTATTTCGAATATACCATTTCAACATCATATCAGTTTCCAAGTTGACAATAAGTAATAGTACCATTTAAGCCAAGCCGTAAAGATTGAATTTCCTTTGAATGTGTACAGAAATCCAAACAAGAACTCTTCCAGCTTTGATGAGACTTTCTGAAATAGTCTTGGTTTGGTAGGTTTATCTTAAGCAGTGGCATCTACAACTCAGGTGGAAGGGTGTGACTGCTAGGAAGTGCTACACAAAACTGCAGCATTATGAAGGTACAAGGGATGTTAGTGATACGGGAGAAGAAATAATGTAAAAAATAGGTAAGATATTGAAGAAACATTTTCTTAGTATACACTTAGAAAAACGTCCAGTGCTTGCACTCTAGTTTTCAACAAGAAAAACCAGCAATTTATGGCATGATCTTCACCATATCTAGTAGTTTCGACTCGTTCGTCACTAACTGTCCTTCTAGGGTTGGTACAAAATTTCAGACTGGTGAAGTGGTCAACAGGTTGCCTCTTCTGCTGTATCCCCACACTAAAAACTGGTGCAGAACAACCAATCTTGAAGCGCGATCTTATACCTGAGAGATCTGAAATGCATGTCTAAAGTATTACAATTTTTGCTCAAGGCGTTCAAAAGATAGCACTTAATTGGCGTCTTCGCCTATCAAGACTGCGTACCAGCAAGGTGCCCTCTAAGTCGTAAGTTAATACTTGAGAAGTTGGTTTACGTCGGGTTAGGCCCATCAAAACTTCTATCAAAGTACTAAGAGCGATAACAGTAGATACCCTCTATGTATATCTGGTTGCCGTTACTTCAGACGACAACTCTACTTAAGCTCTTACACGGTCGCATGAGTTCGAGTAAAGAGTTTTGATTAGCATAACCTACTTATTCGGTACTCTCTTTGCAGTCACAAGTTGCTACATTTCTCGACTTATCTCGGTTAAGGAATATATCAAGGATTAGGTACAAGTAAGTATGCTTTGGCACCAAAAGTTGTTAAAGGGTGATCAGTACATTGCCATGAAGATGGGAATTTATCTATTTTTCTCCAATCTCAGCAGGACAACTATTGACCATAGTATCTTAGACGCAATATTAGTCAAAATGATTTCCCCTTTCCTATGAACTGAAATGATCAGTAATTCAGATTAATCTGATGGGGGATGTTTCTGATTCTTACTGAGTAACTGTTATTCTACTTAATAATTTTCAACCGGCATTTTCGAAAACAGCTGGCAAGTTGTCAGATCCTGGTGCTTTGCATTGTTTCAGGTTTAAAACAGCCTTCCCAAATTTGGCGTACTGACATCTACGTCCCATTCAGGTTTGGGCTAGATGTCGGGTAGCAGAAGCGTTGCTGTAGGCCAGTTGAACTGCTGCGCTCAACCTCCTTGCCGTCTATATTGAGAGGTTATCAGAGTTCTGTCCTTTTTGGTGATGGTTTCACTGACCATCGTCTTCTTACTAGTATCCTTAATAAGTCTAAATAATTTCTGAGCATTGTCTGGTGCTGATACCCTCTCCATCTCTTCCGCTTTTGCCGTCTACCATTGCTTGCGATCATTGCTAAGATTTTAGTCCATTAACGTTTAAGTTGCTTTCGCTTTCGATCGTAATTGGAGCCAGTCGAAATGAGTCTTCTCACGCTTCTCCAAATGCATTTGCGGAGATTCAGTGGCTCTTGCTAACCTTTGGTTATAGGTTACTAAGTCTCTTTCTCACTGTCTCTACAACAGGCTGAAGATTATGTCAGGCTTCATTTGTATGAGTTAGCACAATATGCAGCTCAACACGTATTTACCTACCTAAACACATTTCATATTTTCAGCCGCTAACCTGGAAATCAGGCTTTATTGCAAAATTGTTATTGTGTTCACTGTGGTGCGAATGCGTTCGTACCCCTATGAATATACAATCGTCCTTCAGGCCCGTATGTAGAAAAGATCGGAATCATGCACCAAACCTACCCAACGGTAATTTATTGCGATATGATTTATCTATGTTCACCTTTGGTTGAATGTCAGTAGACTTCAAATGAAGTAATATCTCTCCTTATGTTTAATGGTCCCTTTTTAATTGGCTCAGCCTCCCCGTTTGATTGCTAAAGTCACCCGTTCGTATGACTGGAAGTCTTGTTAGTTGTAGGGAAGTTAACAATTTTCCATAAAACTCATTTTGTGTCGTCCTGAATATGGTCAGTGGGAATGTAAAAAGACATCATCAAGTGTGACTATCTCTTTTAGTTGTTACAGAACCACTTAGTTGGGAAACATGTAGACAACTATCAATTGACTTCAATTCGAAGTGTTCTTCCTGCTTTAGATCTTAATCTTACTTTGAGTCAGCAATACCTTGGGAAATAACCTCTAAATTTTCGAAACATTTAGCCCAGTGCCAAGACTAGGTCAAGCGGACAACCACTCAGCATATTTGTTTCAGATATGCAGTACATATCATTGGCCGAAAATCCCCATAGTTTTGACAGTTGAGGCCTGTTATTCAGGTACGTTGAAACCTCAATGAAATGATTTTACTTGATCATAGGGCCTGAGAAATATCTGCTTGATACTGTCTACACCTACCTTTTTTTGAAGACTGCCTGCGTTTTTAAAGGTGCATCCGTATATTTAGAAATTTACCATTGTATGTAGAAAGCCTTAAGCCAAGGCAACGTAAAGCCCTTATAGCCAGCTTATTCCTACCTCTCCTTTCCAGAGTGAGAATGCAGCGTAGCTGAGGTGCTAGTCGCCTGAAAAAAACGTTACTGCCTCCACACCCCTAATCATACAGCTGCACGACTTCGCTCTCAGACTCCCACCATACCGAAAGTTATTTACTCTGTGATAATAGCTGCCTGTAGTCATGCAGTTAGCCAACAACCCTTCCTAGCATGTTGGATCCCCAAAAAACATTCGTTCTAGCCAACATAGGTTGTTAACCACTAACCATGCAATAACAATTCATTGAGGAAATGTGTATGAAGTTTATAATGCAATTGGTTACGGTATATGTGAGGAGTTTTGACGAACGCTTCGAACTTTCCGTTCTTATTACGCTTTCATGTGGTGTGTGCAGACTGAGATACTATCCACACTCCCAAACCAAAGCAGGTAGCTATCTTAAAAGATCACTCCTGGAGCCTTTGACTGAAGTGTGACCCACAACAAGCTGGAGCATCATCATGGACTGCATTCTTATGGTTGTCTGTAACCAAATTACGCTGTCACACCGTTTGTAGACCATGTAACCCTGAACCTGTTTTAACCAGTAGTTTGCAACCAGGACTTTCCAACTCCGTTAGGTGGACCCTCCTTATCCATCAATCCGTTGATAAATACTGAGCATTCGCTTTCACCCTTCAACTTTTGTGGAGACCTCGTTGTCACGTGAAGATAATGAGTAGAAATCTCTCTCATAGCTATGTGAAGACATTTCAGAGTCTGGAAGCTTTATGTGGATGTCAAACGTGTTCTCATAAGTTAGATGGTCTGTCGAAAGTTTGCATTCATTTACGTTGCTTCATATATGCATAACAGATAAATTACAGCAGGTAAGATTTCTTTTCAACATTTATGAATGTTTAGGAAAAAATGACCGGCTTAGAAACTTATTTTTCGGTATGAAATCATTTTGACTTTTAGTCTACAGACTGTGAATGTTTCTGATTCGAGAAAACCTTATAATTTATGAGTTTCTTAAAATCTCTAGGCCTTGAGCTCGGTTTAATCTATATGAACCTTCAGTGTGCGCTTCTGTAGAAATACTGGTGTTGGTTTGATGAATTTTCATCTGCCTTCTATTCACCATAGGTCTTATCAGATAATTTTTTGTCAGACATATTAATCGGTTTAAAATTAGCAGACGAAGAGATGCTTAATGAAGGCTCAAGAAGTGTGGTATGTTATGCTGTATCCTGATTATTAGGTGTTATTCAGACTAACTTATCTATAAGGTGAGGTTCACTTTGCCTCATGGCATAGTTTTAAGTAAGAATTATCTATCGAACAAGAAATATATACTCACCATTTTTAATCATCATTTCTTCTCTCTATAATATAGTTCTGATGTGTCATCATCTTCGCAGCCTGATTCCACAAGATTCTTCATCACTTTGTCTGGTGCCGAAGCTAATCCAATACAACTGACAACTTCATCCAATCTTCGTAATTCATCGAGAGTTGATCATTTACGAAGTGTTGGTTACTCTGACGAAACTGGTGTACTGAACGATACGAGACTGCGACTTGGTTCTCGCCTAGTAAACTCCACATCATTACGCGGTGATGGTAGAATAAGTGCCAAACATCGTCTTGGCCCTGTTATTCAATCCAACGCACGCATTGTTAGTGTCTCCCGAAGCGATGACAACTTCAACTATAGTTCAGGCAATGAATTTGATGATCTCGTTGAAGGGGATTATGTAGAAATAGCTTGTGATGATGCATATGTAGATGATGTAGTTGATGAAGACTTACCGCTTAAAGAGAACTGTGGATCCCGTTCTAAATTATCTTTGGGCGATAAACTAAGCCAGCAAATACCACAGTTGGTAGTAAATCTGAACGAAACTGACGAGGAGGAAGATGTTGCCACTCTTCGAACTGAGACAGAAAGACAAAAGCGCAAGATCTCGACCAAAAGTAAAGAAAAAACTCAAAATGCAACAGATTCTGTTAAGGAAAGTGGAACTCAACAGAACATCCCAAGGTTAGCTTTTTTTATAATCTTATTCCCATGTGTTTTAACATAACACCTTTTTTGAGCTATGCTTTTACGAAGTTCTCAAGTATGTGTTTGTTAATTCACAGTTTGCTAAAAAAATTATCATCCCAAACATCTATGGCATATAACGGTATAGCAGTGACCAGGTGTTACCTCACTGCTTAAGTTTATGGTTCTCGTAGATAAAATTCTAGATTTTCGGTGGCCATGCCTTTTGCACATCTCATCTATGTAAAACAACTGTTATTCGTTTTTGTTTCATTTGTTCCTCTTTCCACCTTCCACTTAACATTCCAAATTGTTCAAATATAATGATTTCTTGAGACAGTCTTTCGATGTTCGCTTACTATTTTTAGGTTGTAATCAGTAAGGTCACCGAAACTTTAAAAATGTTGTTTATTGTCTGCCGTGCACAATCTATTCCCTGAAAGAGGTCATTTGTAGTTCATATGGCTAAGTTGTAATGTATATTCGATTATGACGTCAATATATGTATGGATTTGAATCGTAGAACGGATATAATTAGTCCTCTGGCTGACTTGACCAGCTGCTTGAATTGGTCTTGTCCAAACAGACAGACAACCAAGTCAACATAAAACATACAGGTTGCTATACTTCACAGTAGCATCCGGAGAAGTGGCTAAAAAAGAATAATATCAAGGCCAATAAAAGTGTATGAGGATGAAGTATTCAAGAATTCTTTCCACTTAATAATGCAAATAACCAACTATAAAGTGCATCGTTGTGTGCATTGATTTCTCTTTCAGTTATAAGTTTATTTCATCTTTATTCTGTGCTGGTATTCCTTTTTGTATTTCCTTAGCATCCTGAGTGATACGTGTATAATTTTACAGTAGTTTCCTGAAAGATACTACAAGTTCTAGGTGTAAGCTTTTGTCAATTATCTACGACATTCAAAATCGTCTAACTTTTAGCTCAGTAAAATCTTAGTTCAATTTACACTTTACGTAAAACCGGAAGGAATACACGATAAAAAATCTGTAGACTATTTGGTATGCTGGAAAAATGATGAAGTCAGTTACTAGCTTATAAGAATTATGTTGTTAGCTTCATTCTTATTCAGAGTTTAAGATGTTTCCAATGACTATTTTCCTAACAATACAAGTTAAGATTTTCGCCTGTAACAATCATTTCTTCTGACGCTTACACTAAGTCATAAAACACGTGTACCGTTTCCTCCCCGAATGTTTGAGCTACAGTAATTTTGAAGTGATCATCATCATCATTATCAATATAGGACCAGGCATTACTGCGTAACGGTCCGAGTTGCCACAACTCATGTCAGCACATCAAGTAAAAAGGTAGTGAGGCGAAGGATGAAGATAAGTGAATGCAGTCAAAAGAAATATAAAGTACGAAAATAAAATAAAAAGGGGAGTGACAAAATGGTGAGATTCGGTATAGCGTTGTTAAGATGAGGATAATGTGTGTATACATCTGCGCCACTGACTTCGGTTCTGAGCCATATCACCTAGGGTCTCCAACCACTGGTTCCTCTTGTCCCGTGGACCCCAACCACCTAGTCTGCATCGTCCTACATGGCTTAAACCAATAGTCAGAGACTTCATACATTGGTGCCATGTTTTAGTCTGGCCACCTCGGGCCTTTTTCCAGCCTGGACCCACTTCAGCCAACATTGTGTGACGAGACAATCGGTGACTAGGCATACGTAGTACGTGTCCCAACCATCTCAGTCGATGAAGGTTCACAACCTCGTCAACTGACTTACCTCTTCTCCCTAAAACTCTACACCTAACTTCTGCATTACTCATGTGGTGACACCACGGAATACGTCCTATATTACGAAGGCAACGGTGATCAAACACCTGAAGCCTTTTTGTATCCTCCACTTTCAGTGGCCATGTTTCACAGCCATACAGTAGAACAGAGCGGACTGCTGTGCAGTACACGCGACCCTTAATAGACAAACGAATATCACGGCGGCGCCATAGGTGGCGCAAATTGGCAAAAGCCAATCGAGCCTTTTGTATCCATGCAGAAATCTCATTGGCAACTAACCCACCGGGGTTGATCCTACTTCCAGGTAAGTGAAGTGGTCAACACACTCAACCACTTCACTCTCTATTGTTAACCGCGGTACCGCTGAAGACCAGTCCTGGAGCAAAAATTTGCATTTGGGTGGTGATAGATGTATGTTGTGTACTAAAGGGACTTGCTGATAATTTATATTAGTTTTATTATTGTACAGAAGTATATCAGTCATTTATGAGTAACCTGAAGTATGATATTTGCGGCTACAAAGGTGCACATTACTCCTACCACGCATTTTTTGACTGATATAATGGAATCAACAGAACACAGATTCTCATAGAAAAACGTTTTATTCGCACTAAACCCAGACACCCAAACAACTACTATTCATTAAACGGCGTAATGTACAAAAATTTAGGATCTTAGTTTTCAGTTTCTTTACAGGGTAGTTAATCTTATAGTTTAGAAAACCTGCTTCACACACTTGGTACATTTGATCAATTGAAAAAAAAGCAGAACAACAACGTGTAAAGAAAAAAATACGTCAGTTATGCACAGTCGAAAATGGCATAGGATATCATAACTAACAAATGAGTTATATACTTAGCTGTTTGAGGTATTAACAAAGTCCAAATTTACGGTATAACAATAGATCGAGGAATGTAACTAGTTTTCAATATGTATATATATTTTGATATTCATCATGGACTGACATCAGTTGGAGAGACAGAAACCTGGGAGCACGGGACAGCTGTTTTGTTTTATCATAGGACTCCTCAGCAGCGCGCACCCATGACCCCAGCAGGGGTCGAATGTTCTGGACCTTCAGGTTATGTGACCAGCACGTGACCGTTGAGCCACTGGATCGGAATCCAGTGGTACACATTTCTTACTTCTCTCATTTCACGATATAGCGTGACCTCCTTCCAATGCGGCCGTTGAGTAACTGTCCTCATGTTCTACTTAGTTGGCTCCACCGGTCACGACTTCTCATTGGAATTCCAGGAATCACTTCTCGAAACTAGTCACTAATGAGCGCTAGAATAATTCAATTTTCAGGTTTGTGGAGATTTATTGCTTTCAGAAGCCCCATACTAGGAGAAAACAGCTATCCAGTGCTCTCCGGTTTCCAATAGTTCTCTAAACAATTTCAGTCCATGATGAATACTTGAAACGAGAAAGGGCAACAGAAATAGACGGACTACCTGCTGAGGTATACAAGAATGGTGGTAGAGTCCTCTTGGTCAGGTTAACGGAACTGTTAACCAGTATATGAGAATCAAATATGATCCCCTGTGACTGGTCTAAATCACTGATTATTCCAGTCTTCAAGAAAGGCAAGAAGTCCTCTTGCGATAACCACAGAAGAATCAGCCTGACGGACATAGTCTCCAAGATCCTAGGTTCTATAGTTCTTCGACATCTGAGTGGAGCTAGGGAACAGCAAGCCCGAGAAAACCAGGCAGGCTTTGGACCTGGCCGCGGGTGTATCGAAGTCTTATTGCGCCAGGTTCTGGAATATAGGCACACTTACCGACACGCGATACTAGCTATATTTCTTGACCTGAAGGCGGCATTCGACTCCGTTGATCGAGAAGTCTTATGGCAATGTCTCTCACTGAAAGGCGTGCCGAGTAAGTACATCACTTTATTGAAGGCTCTCTACTCGAACACTTGCGGGCGTGTTAGAATGTATGGTGAGATGTCCAAGGAGCTATGCTCATCGAGTGGTGTCCGTCAAGGCTGCCCACTCTCTCCATTCTTATTCAATTTTATTATAGATATTCTCATGGAGGTCTCCTTCTCGTCACCTGATTACACAGACGTTGACCTAATCGCAGAAGAATTTTCGTTAGACCTAGAATATGCAGATGACATAGTCCTGTTAGGTGAAGACGCTGACAAGATGCAGAGTCTTCTGAACACTTTGAGTGGGAATTTGAGAATGTTTGGGATGTGTTTCTCACCATCCAACTGCAAACTGTTCCTCCAGGATTGGTCTTCAACGGTGCCTCGGCTAACAGTAGAGAGTAGTGGTTGAGTGTGTCAACCCCTTCACTTACCTGAGAAGTAGGATCAGCCCTACCCTCGTGGCTCAGTGGCCGATGCAATCTCGGCACGAATACAAAACGCCCAGTTGACTTTTACCAACTTACGGCACCTGTGGTGCCGCCGTGTTATCCGATTGACTATTGAGTCGCGTGTACTGCACAGCAGTCCGCTCTGTTCTACTGTATGTCTGTGAAACATGGCCATTGAAGGTGGAAGACATGGGAAGGCTGGCTTCAAGTGTTTGACCACCGTTGCCTTCGTAGTATAGTATAGGCCGTATTCCGTGGTATCACCACATGAGTAACGCAGAAGTCAGGTGTAGAGTTTTAGGGAGAAGAGATAAGTCGGTTGACGAGGTTATGAATCTTCATAGACTGAGATGGTTGGGGCACGTGTTATGTATGCCTAGTCGCTGATCGCCTCGTCACACAATGTTGGCCGAAGTAGGTCCAGGCTGGAAAAAGGCCCGAGGTGGCCAAACTAAAACATGGCATCAATGTATGAAGTGTTTGACTGTTGGTTTGAGCCATGTGGGTGATGCAGACTAGGTGGTTGGGGTTAGCAGGACAAGAGAAACCAGTGGTTGGAGACTGTAGGTGATATGGTTCAGAACCGATGTCAGTGGCGCATATGCATACACACATTATCCTCATCTTAACGCCACCCGGAATCTCACTACTTTCTCATTCTTCGTTTCTCTTTTTTCGTACTTTATACTCCTTTCGATCGAATTTTCTTTTCTTTACCTTCCACTTCACTGCTTTTTTACTTGAAGTACTGATATGAGGTGTGGCAACTCGGACCGTTACGCAGTAATGCCTGGTCCTAGGTTGATCGGGATGGATGGAGGGATGAATAACAATCTGAGATCATTAAATCCCCACAGACCTCAAGGTTGAATATATATATATATATATATATATATATATATATATATATATATATATATTTATATATATATATATATATGTATATATATATATGTATATATATATATATGTATATATGAAGTTGTTGTTGTTTAACTGTTGTGAAGGTTCAAGATTAGCTGTGAGTTGATGGGTAATTGTAAAACTTCATCTTTTCTACTTCTGGAAGTAAAAATTCCTTGTCAACGTGCTGATGTTTCATTGTTTCGGTTAGGCGACTCAATGCTCTGCACATTAAGAATACAATTTCAATAGAAAACTTGGAATAGTCGTCAGTAATTAAGTGAATGAAGTATGGTGTGTATTTTGGTCAAACTTGATGTTTCGGAGGTCAAGTTTTCGAAAGAATAATTTCGAGCAAGTAGTGGTACATTGGCCTGTACTCAGACAAACACCTATGTTTAATCAACCCAAATTTGGGATATAACGGGCGTCCATCGGCTTTAACAATAGACACATCTCTGGAATTCGCAAGTGGACAATTGCTGCTCTTTTTAAAGCACATGGACGTGATGTATTTTTAAGCGCCTAAACGTGTATACGAAAATTTCAGTCGGGAGACATTTCGAACACAGCTCGATGATGAGGTTGCTAAAGGTGCTTTAGAAACGAAACTTATTTTTATTGGAGCACAGTTATGGTATTCATCCCGAAAAGGTCTGGTACCATCTCAAATGTGCTGCAAAATAGTGGCAAACGTCATTACTGATAAGAAAGGTTCGGTGAGTTTGAGCAGCTTCTTCTGAATTAATGGATGCACGTGAACGGATTCCCGCAGGTTCCAAGCAAAATGGAGCCTGGAGCCAACTCGGTTGTAGACTGACAAAGAGTCTAGGCAATGACCGTGACCGATGGTGCGCACCAAAGTTTAATGAGACGAGGAAGGCAACGGTAGACTTATCAAGGAAATTCGGGTAATGAAGCTAGTGGTTAGTGTGATTGTATAGGTATGCGATCCACTGGTAAAGGCGGCGAGAACATTTGGAAGAATAGTCCAACTGACCTCCAGCTACTTTTCGATTGTTTGCTGTCCAGTCGTATCTTTAGTGGAACACTGAGATGGGACCCCCAACTTTTGTATAAATTGAGAAGGCTGTACTGAACCTGAGCGGAGGAAGAGCAGTGGCTCACATAAGCATAAAAACACCATAGTCAAGGCCAATTGGTTAGATTTACTGAATTGTTGAAATTAGATTGAAATTAGATACTTGCATTCCTGACTGATCTCAGTCACTGAATGTCCCAGTCATCAAGAAAGCAAAAAGATCCTCCTGTGATAACCACAGGAAATCAGTGTAACGAACACACTGTATGTGATTCTGAGTTCGGTAAACATTTACGTCTAGGCAGAGAATAGAAAGAGCGAACTTGAAAATGCTAAAAGCGCATTTTAAATATGGTGTATCGACCAGATCTTCACCTTTCTCTAAGTGTTGAATCACAGTCACACTTATTGGCCTCTTTCACTGTTTCCTAATCTGAGGGCGGCATTAGAATATGTTGACAGAGTTTTTATGACAGTGTCTCACTAAAAGATGCTCTAAGTAAGTACACCACCTCACTGAAACCTTATTCGAACGCCGGTGGTTGCGTTTAAGCGTATGGCAAGGAATCACATGAGTTATATTCGCCAAGTGTCTGCCAAGGATGTCTTCACTCTTATTCAACCTTATATAGCGTTATAACCTTCGTTTCACCTGATTACCCAGCTGCTAGTCTCGTTGTGGGAGACTTCTTAGTTGGTTTAGAGTAAGCAGATGATATATTTTTCTAGGATGAAAGCACTGTCAAAGTACAGTCTTTGGACAGCTTGCGAATGTCTGAGGTGCGCTTCTCACCATCCAAATGTAAAGTTTTGCTTCTTCATCAGTCTGTGTCAATAACTGGATTGATTGAGTGTACCGACCACTTCACCCACATAGATGTGAGAATAGCCGCAGTGGAGTGACTTTAAAGGCCATCCTAGCAACTAATAAACTAACCAATCAAATTCCAGAATTTTGACTGGGAAGGTAGTTTTTCATAGAGAAGAGGAACGTAATTAGTTGTCTCAGCGGTTGCTAGGGTGGCTTTTAAAGTCACTCGCTCTAGTGGGTCAGCGACCAACGGAACCTCTTGAAAGATACAAGAACCTCTTGCTTAACCGTCACCAAACTATTTGATTCATGGCTGCGCTTTGATATGTGATCACCTATTAGGGATTGAGTGTACTGCTCTGCAGTTTGCTCTGTTCTACTGTTTGACTGTGAAACACGTTTATTAAAGTTTAGGGGAAAAAGTTTCGGTTGTTCTACCACACTCCGTGTTGTGGTTTGACCACGTTAGTTGTGTAGATGTTTTGCTTGGAGTCTCAGACTAAAAATTTAAGTCAGCTGATGAGTGTTGATTCTTCCTGTTCAATAAGATCGTATAAATCCATGGAGTCAGACACTTGGAATATGTGTTACGCATCTCAAGTCACCATCTGTCCTACAGTCTAGTGTTAGCTGAAGTGCGTTTAGGTTGGGAAACGATTAAAGTTCATCAGTCCATGAAGTCTCTAACTATTGGTGTGAGTCGTGTGGTGAAATGTAAACTTTCATTGTTAGGGACCGAGTGACAACCGAAATCGGTGATTGGAGGCTAGGGGATATTGCTCGAATTCAATCTTGGTGGCACAAATCCCTCAACATTTGATTTTCACGGTTGTGCCACACCTATCCTTCTCTTCGTTTGATTATGACTTTTAATTATTCCATTTCCATTGTCTTATCTTTCACCTTGTTTTCCTGTATCGTGGTGGGCTTATATTTTTTATTATTATTTGTCCCTTGGGTTCCTAATGGAACATAGGGCTTCAGTAGCACGTCTCCATTCCACTCTCTTCTCCGAAATCTTTTGAACCTGGCTCCACGACAGCCCAGAAGCTCTCATTTCCTCCTCGCACCATCTCCTCCATGTCACCCTCGACACCGACGCTCAACTCATCGCTTCTCATCTGGGTTCCACTCGTGGGCCTGGCCTGACGCATGATGCCCCCAGTTGGCCTTCTCAGTGTATGCCCAATCCATCCTTACTTCCTTCTGCATATTTGTTGAGCGATAGGTTCTTGGTTGGTTCGTTCCCATAGTTCCTTGTTACTTATTCTTATTATTCTGGCCATCTGAGCTTCAGTAGCGAGCCAGTGTAGGCAGTTGTTGATGAATGTCTGTAGTTTACTTGATGTAAAATAATTGTTTTCCTTTTGACATTTATTCACGAGTTTTAATATCCAACACTGTTTTGCACTTCATACATGAATTTTTCGATGAAACTATCATATAATTTTACTTTTGATTGAAGGAGATTTTGGTCAAAAAGTGCTTATTCTAACAAAAAATTCACTATGGCAATAACAATTTGTAAGACGTAACTGAAGGAATATTTTCATATTTACCAATTGTAGTTGGTCAAAAGGAATCTCTGGTCACTGTTTGATCAATCTGTTTAGGCGAAGATGATTGCCTTTACCTCTTAATTATCATAGACGTAATTGGACAAAAGTAGATGTCGAACGTTAATTTTTTCGATGGATATAATTTGCGTGTTTCTGCTATGTAACTATAGCGACGCAACCTGGTGCATGCTTTTTCAATGGGCCACAAACTACTTTTATTGACTTAGAGCCTATGATACTACTCAGTCACCCAGATTGAAATATATAGGGTGGAACTCGAACCCTGGAACAATTGCTTGAAAGTTGAATGCTGTACGCAATCAGTCAGAGAGACTGTATTGAATCAGGTGTCGAGCGTCTAATTGTTATTTTGTAATAAATTGTTAGGCGAAACTTAATTTTATTTTGTAGTTGGTATATGTCATCGTTACTTCAGAGTAAGCGCTTCATGGTTTTGAGTAAAAACTGCTGCTTGGCTAACAGATCAAACTGATAAAATCGACCAGTGCGGATCATTGTGCCTCAAAGTCTTTCATAGCTACCTACCTTTCCACTGTTATTTCTTAAGAGGAAAAACTACATGTCAAAACATTTTCCCGGCAATAGTCATTTCTTTCACTAATGGTTTCTTTTGAGATTTTTTTTTCTTGACAGAAGTGTTCCCTGAAGTCAGTACTTCTCACCTGGGAAAAGTTTTAAAATTTGAATTGTTTCAATCAAAATGTCATAAACGTTTAATGTCTGTTTACTTTTAGCTCCTTAGAGCGTTGTAAATTTTGGCCCAGTTGTCGAAATGGAACTTCCTGTCCATATATCCATCCTTCAGAACCATGTCAGTTGTTTCCACGATGTAAATTTGGTGCAACATGTACATTTATTCACCCACCATGTCGTTATGGTGCGTTATGTACACGTGCTGACTGTCCTTTCACACATTCGTCAAACGACTTTTACGTAAGTGTATTTTTTCCGTAGTTAGGATATTGCTCGTTTCTATTTCAATGTATGTAACCAGTGTTTCTAAAAAAAATCATCCTGCAGCCATATCACGTATGCTCATCAGTAGGTCGTAACTCATCTCTTTTGCCTTCCACTAACTTATGCCATATCTGAAGTTACATTCTTTTTACACATTTCCACCTACCTTAACGATCCGTTACCCAAATGCATTCTTCCTGAATTTCTCGCACGTACAAAAGAAGAGGCAGTATCCAGCGTATTCTTATGCATATTGTCAAAGTCATCCCATTACAGAGACGTTGCTGTAGTTAGGTTGGACCGTGATGTATTCATTCTAGTGTTCCAACTAGCACATAACACGCTTATTTTCCAGCAAATATAACTACCAGACCTTTTAATTGGTTGTCAAATTGGGTTTATCATGAAGTTATCGTTTGCTAATCATGATCCTCACCACATCGCTTCCTTTGACTTTGCATTTGGTTGCTCAGCTGTCTCTCCATTAAATCTTATAGTTTTCTCCCCATTTGAAAAAGTTGTAATGTATTTTGTGGTGTATAGTTTCCCCCAGAAATCAATCATTTACATCCATATGCATCACCTAGGTGTAAAGCTTTCAACATTTGAAAATATTTTCTTGATGTTTTCATGTGTATCATGAATCTATTTTAAGTCAGTTATGAATTCCAAAAACCTCGCCTGGTTAACTAGTTCACTAGTTACTAGCCGGTCCTAAGCCCGGGTAAGCCCGGGTTCAGCATAGGGCTACCAACCCTACCCCGCAAAAAGAATCTAACCACCGAAGAAACTTCAAAGCACAAACGATATATAAAAAATAAAAACAAACTTATTCCTCGCTGGAATCGGAGAGGCGAAATGACGCCAGTTGGTGAAAGCCTGCCTTCGGGAAGCCAATTGGCCGATGTGTCTTCTCTCCCTAGATGAAAGCGAAAGTAAACGTGGGGACATGGAATGTCCGCACGATGTTTGAACCCAGCTGGCAAGGCAGCCCAGATTGCAAACGAGATGAGAAGGTATCACATTGAAGTGCTTGGAATTTGCGAAAGCAGATGGAATGGGAGTGGACTCTCCAAACTGTCAACTGGAGAATCAATAATCTACTCCGATATTGTCACCCAGATGACAACCACGAGCACACTGAGTTATGGAGTGGCTATCATGATGTCCCCAACAGCATCGAAGGCTCTCATGCAGTGGGAACCAATCTCCTCCTGCAGGATCATGACAGCAAGGTTCAACTCAAAATGAAGGAAGGTCACAATCATACAACGCTACGCCACACACCTACAAATAATGCAGAGCAAGAGAAGAAGGAGGAATTCTACAGACAACTTCAATCAACACTGGACAAGACGTCAGTTGGCGATATCAAAATTCTAATGGGCGACATGAATGCCAAACTGGGAGCAGAAAACACAGGAAGAGAACTAACCATGAGTCGAGAAGCGCTCGGTGAGGTGATGAACGAGAATGGAGAATTGTTTGCAGAATTCTGTGCATTCAACGATTTGGTGATTGGAGTCATGCAGTGTGTTCAAGCACAAGGATATCCACAAAGTGAGCGACATGGATTTCACCAGATGGATACACTAAAAATCAAATCGACTTTATCTCAATCTCAAGAAAATGGAGACGCAGTCTACTTGACACAAGGTCAAGAAGAGGAGCAGATGTAGGGTCACACCACTCACTATCTAGTGCAAGGAACCTTCCAAATCAAGTTAAAAGCCTTCAAGGAAGCTGGTGATAGACCTCAATTCAAGTACAACACTCGGAAACTGAAGGATGAAACTACAAAGGAGATCTTCAAGTCAGCCATCAAGACAAAATGGGAGATATCGAGGAACATCCTGAAGAAACCTGTGCGGAAGAACACTGGAAGTCTTTGAAAGAGATGTGGAAAGAAACCTGCACAGCCGTATTAGGAAGGAAGAAGAAAGAAGACAAGGAATGGATCTCGACGGATACCTGGAAGCTGATAGAGGAGAGGGAGGAGGATGGTGAAGCAGAATATAAACCAGTGCATGGATGCTCAACGACAAGAGGAACTGAGTACAATGTATAAAACACTACACTGGACAAAGAAGTGAAGAAGAGTGCACGGAAAGATAAAAGACACTTCTACGAAACATTGGCAAGTGAAGCAGAACAGGCTGCAGGTAAGAGAGACCTGACAACATTGTATCAAATAACCAGGTTGCTATCTGGGATGGGAGAGATAAACGCAGACGAAACCAATAAAAGATGATAACGGAAATTTAATTACGAAAGAAGGGAAACAAAGGAAACAATGGGCCGACCACTTCAAGAAGCTCTTGAATCGACCACCACCTGCACTTCGTCCACAAATACCACCTACAGCCCAGCCGCTGAACTACAAGTGAACATAAATCCTCCAACAAAAGTGGAAGTCCTGAACGCCATAAAGCTACTGAAATGCGGGAAAGCAGCAAGACCAGATGGGATCCCGCCAGAAGCACTGAGAGCAGACGCAGAGACAACAGCGGACATGCTCACACCACACCACTATTGTAGAAGGTGTGGAAGGAAGAGAAGGTACCTGGCCATTGATTGGAAGAAGGGTTACCTTGTCGAACTCCCGAAGAAGGGAGACCTCAGTGTTTGCAAGAACTGGCGCAGAATCACTCTCCTGTCCACCTAGAGCAAGCAAAATACTAAGCCGCATCATCCTGGAGAGGCTTAAGGATGCACTGGATTCAAAACTACGACCGGAACAGGCTGGCTGGATTCAGGAAGTACAAATCATGTGCGGACCGAATTGCAACGCTTCGCACCATCATAGAACAGAGTATAGAATGGCAGTCAACTCTACACCTCAACTTTATCGACTTTGAGAAGGCCTTTGACAGCGTCGACCGAGAGGTGATTTGGAAACTGCTTCATTACTACGGAGTACCGCAAACCTTTATTCGCCTCATTCAACAACTATATGAAGACGCTACATGCCAAGTAATTCACAATAGGAAGCTCAGTGATGCTTTCGAAGTGAAGACAGGAGTGAAACAGGGTTGCCTACTATCCCCCATGATATTTCTGATTGTGGTCGACTGGACTCGATCATGCAGCAAACAGTGGAGAGCTGTGAGAAGAGGGGGATGCGCTGGACTGCGGAAAGGAACCTAGAAGACTTGGATTTCGAAGATGACTTGTGTCTGATATCACACAAACTTGAAGATCTACAGGCGAAAACTAACAAGTTGACAGGAGAGGCAGGGCAGCGAAAACGGGACTTCAGGTGAATATAGAGAAGACAGAAGTGATGAAGATACCGCACCAACAACTCCAACTTCAGTCACCGTCAACGGGAGAAACTTAAAGGAAGTAACCTCCTTCACCTATCTAGGAAGCATTGTTTCAACTACAGGCGGGACAGACGAGGATGTCAAAGTCAGAATCGGAAAAGCAAGACAGGCGTTCATTAGCCTGAAACCAGTGTGGAGATCTTCTGCACTTAGCATGCAGAACAACATCCGGATTTTCAACACCAACTCAGTCAAGTCAGTGCTTCTGTATGGTTCAGAGACTTGGCGCGTTTCGAAAGGGATTTCCAATAAACTACAGACATTCATCAACAACTGCTTACGCTCACTCGCTACTGAAGATCAGAAGGATTGCCAGAAAGAATAAGCAACAAGGAGCTCTGAGAACGAACCAACCAAGAACCTATCGCTCAACAAATATGCAGGAGGAAATGGAGATGGATTGGGCATGCACTGAGAAAGCCAACTGGGGACATCACGCGTCAGGCCAGTGCCTCGAGTGGAATCCCCATGGGAAGCGACGAGTTGGACGTCCGAGGGTGACATGGAGGAGATGGTGCGAGGAGGAAATGAGAGCTTCTGGGCTGTGGCGGAGCCGGGTTCAAAAGATTTCGGCGAACAGAGTTCACTGGAGACGTGCTACTGAAGCCCTATGTTCCATTAGGAATTCAAGGGACTAATAATAATAATAATAATAATAATAATAATAATAATAATAATACTGAATTCCAAAAGGTAAGGCATCTAGAAAGTTAAGTTTTCAAATCAGTATATGCAAATCAGCGACTAATTAGGCTACTAGACAATAAATGATCTGTGGTAGATGATCCAGAAACCAATTCTGCATACACTTTTATATAACCAAGGTGGCCTGAGTATCAGGATTGTATTTGTGTAGTGCTTTAGATTTTGACCAATCCTCTTCTGTAGGCCAAACACAATGATACTTCAGTATTTTCGTTGTCTGCAGAACATGCACTCTAATGACCATGAAAATACTTATCTTTCTCGTTCATTGTTTAACTTTCCTGGTAGTGAATAACCACTGAGGCTGTCATTTCAAGACGTCGATTACTTTTTGCAGCATTCTTATTTTTATCACATAATTCATCTTCCGTGTCGTGAACTAATGTAATCATCAGTCGAACGGCGCTACTTTGCAAGTATTACTGATCAAATGTGAGTAGTTTTGTTCCTTATACCCAGACAAGCAATGCAGAACTTTGGATTTTAGTACATCACACTTTGCACATACTCTTTTACAGCAAGTCATATTCCAAAACCATTGGTATTACAGCGACTGATCCAGTCTTCGAGCTTTGAAGTTTTAAACAGTACTAGATCTTGATGTTTTCCTACATAGTATTCAGTGAACTTGGCTTTCAAATGTAATAGAAGCGTATGTTTTCGGTGCTGTAGTTGGGATCTCTTGGATACGATGGTTTGAATTTACACAGTGTATCTGAAGACTCGCGTTTGAAGTGAAGGTTACTGGGTTTGAGCCTCAGTGTGAACAGCATCGCTTACTGGGGTGCAGGTACATCCAGCTGACGAGTCCCAAATAGGACGAAACGTGCGTCCTGGATTCCTCTGCTAGTCATCAAGTTCAATATATCATCATGAATATTCAGCAGTATCGAACCATCCGCATAGGAACGCATCTGCCAACAGAGGTCGAGCGACTCGGCCCTGATTAGTAATGTGAAATTACAAGTATCATACAGCATGACTAGTGAAAGTTAATTCTGTGAATCTCGGAATTGTCTTCAAATTTACCACTTACAAATCTCTAATTGAAACTCCTTTAGGTGGCCATGTTGCATGTATTATTGTGTTATGTGTTAGATTTTTGATAGAAAATGGTGCACAAAGTGTTTGCATAGTTTGATGGTGTTCAATCGTAAAATTTTGATCTAATGATTATAACCTGTGAATACACAATTTACTAAATCCTGTTAATCGTAGTTACTTATATACTACTTTGGTACTTTTTTTCTGTAGCTGTGGTGCCTGCTAATCCAGTCCAAGTAGTATGCCGTTTTCAAGATAGGTGTACAAATCCTCATTGCCAGTTTTATCATCCACCTGTTGTTATTCAACCCTCTCCAGTCCTTATTCGACCTCCTATTGCGACCGTTCCGGTCTTTTCTAGCCCTATCCCATGTCGATTTGGTTCTGCGTGCACAAATCGTGCGAAATGCCCTTTTCTTCATTCTGATCTACCTTCAATTGATCAACTGAAATGGATTGCACCCTCTAAGAAACAGCAAACATCTAATTCTGCAAACTCTCATGCGGCAGATCAAACAGTTAAACCTGTAGCTAGCGTAAAGGCTTCATGAACTGGTATTTTTGAAAGCTTTCTTTGAGGAGCGAATCAAAGGTGTTCTGTTTTTATGATGCATTTCTGTTTAATTCCCTTAAATATAAATAGTGAATAATCTAACTCATCTCATTTTATTCTTATAGTTCTTACTAGTAAAATTAAAAAGCATGTGGTATACATAATGCACTGTCTAAGCTCAAATTCTTCATAATCCGTGCGTGTCTAGTTATAGAAATGAACAATAAGTCTAACGGCCACCCACACTACTTTGATTCACCATACTTCTGTTTATCATAAAATAAGAGGCGTGGATGTGTTTGAAAGAGAATTAACTCAAGACTACGACAGTAACTTCCTCGATATAACCGCGTCACTAAAGGCGATCTAGGCAGAAGCACTTTGTTGAAAGTGCTTAGTCAAAGATTTTTGATGCTACAAGGCCTTTACTTAGCTGTGGTACACTATCTTGTACGATGCAAACCATCCGTCATTATTATCTGTCTTTTTAGACTTTTCACATTGTTTCTCACTTGTAAGAGATTGTTGTGTGTGGTTATCTTACCCTCTGTTTCGTAGTCGAGACAAAACTATCGGTAACTAATTGTGGTTACCTGCACTAACCAAAAAGCTACACGTTTTAAGAGAGTTTATGACTCTACATGACTGCCCGAACTACGATACGGTTCGGACCTGTAACCCACTTGTTGGATGTCGATCTTTTAAACTGGTGAGCAACAGCGGCAGGTTCTTAGCGGATAAACATTCACGCCCTCATAAGGCCTTGCTTGTGAACTGTGAATTAAATCCACATGTGCTTTATGGGGAATATTTTTCATTATTAAAAAAGAGTATTCTGATATAAGCTCCGCTGTAACGGCCTTAAAAAGGGTTCGATTCCAGTCAGAATCACTTCCGTGTTCTGCTCCAAAGTTGAATGTTTTTATTACTGGGAAATCATTTGTAACCACTGGTAAAAGAATGAGCAGTAGCGCAAAACACCATTGCAGCCAGAGAAATTCTGACCTTTGATCCAACTAGCGAAGGCTACGTTTTTGTTTTAATATTCTGCGAAGATTATCGTCATTTGTCAGTACATTTTAAACTTTCATGATATGTCAGAGGCTGCGGTCTGTTTTCTATATTGTCTTTTCTTCAACGGAAATCCTACTGAAATCATATATGGATTGGAAAACTGCCTGGCCAAGAGAAAATATTGACATAGACTATGCAATTTTCAAGCGAGAGTGACGCACGTAACCGATTAAAACTTCAGTATAATCAAATTACCAAGTGGCAATACAAAGAACATTAATGAAAACCAGCTGCAGAAAAAAAGGGGATCTCCATGGAGACCTTATCCATATTTCCATCATCTTAAACAGGGGAGGTTTTCAAATACCTACACAAATCAGGCTCCAGACCAACTAGTCAGCGAAAGCCCATTTCAAACACTAAGGAGTAGGAAAGACACACAAAACTTACGCAGTTAAAGAACAAACAATACAACTAGAATTAAGTGATAAAACGGACGGGTAAACTGGATCTCGGTATTGCATGTGGACGACTCTTCTGTTGTTAACGAAGATAGAAAACACTGCAATGACTTCGACAATACCAAGCTCAATAGAATACAAAACCTAGTGATATGATTTTGAATACTGTCTTCAATCGAACGGAAAGTTAAAAACATGCAGTCGTATCGATTTCATAATTTTGTTGTCCGCGAGTTGCGTTGCACAAGGTTTATCGGTGATTCCTTTCATTTCCCAAGGTTCTCTATTTTACATCGTTCACACATACGCATCGTATAATTGCCTAAACAAACTTCCCGAAAAAGAAATCCGTTAAACCCGGTAATATATAGATGCCTGGTCAACTCTACTGGGATACAAGGTCTCAGAAAAGCAGTCCATTTGCCACACAAGGTGAAATATAGTGTTTAAACTCAACAGTGTAATACACTCAACCGAGTACTAGACCATGAATCATGCCTATTGAGTAAGGATGAACAATATTACCAGTGTCACAGGTCATAGTAGGTGGGACTAGATTCGAACCATAGGGTCGACTACTCAAAAGTCGAATGTCTAAGCTGATAGATCACATATTCAAACTAAGCAGCAGATTTTACGTACTGATCTACAGATTTCGATTGCCCATTCCTACGGGATAATGTCTGTCAATCGTAATATGGATTTCAAACTGTATGGGTTTATATAATGCCATCATTCTTAGTTTAATGCTGAACAAATAGTTCATAAAAGTTTATGTGAATGACACTGTAAACTAATAGTCACATACTGAGAGCAATAAGCAGATAAAATGATGGGTGTAATCGGGGCTTTCTTACCAATAGAATACTTCACAACTGAGCTGGTGATTGTGTGAGCCAAAAAGGAAATTGAAGGTGTTCAAATGAATTTTTTATTGTGTGAATTGATTAATACAATTGATAAATCCCAATATAAGTAGTATATATCTATACACCTAGTAATACATTTGGTAACAAATTTATCGAAAGACAATGTACAAATAGTTAGCAACAAAAAACGAAGTAAAAAAGAAATAGACAAGAAAGGTAACAATAAAGACTGCCAGAAGAAAATAGCTTTACAGCTACTCACTTTAAGAAAATAAAAGGTGCACACTGAAGAGGAAACCCGAAGCATTCTACGTGTCACAAACCCAAACATACTTTTAGATTCATCTCTCCGTGAATATAACACAAATATAGTGAAAAGCAGTAAACAACTGTAATGGAATAGTAGACCAGTAATATTAATTTCAATGACATAAAGTTCGTTTCAATCTGTTCAAGTAGAATGAATGTATCAGTCGAAAAAATATTAGTAACAGTAACTGTATTTGCATTAGAGACAACAAATACAATCAACAAGTTCAGTACACAGTGAATACATAAATTGTGAATGAATCCAAGAAAAAAGTGTTCATAAGTATACGACAGCAACAATTAATAGTTCCAGTGATAACTACAATAATACTCATAATATAATAAATTGTAGTAATAATGAAGGGAAAGAATTTAACATTCTATTATTTTTAATCGAAAATAATCTCTCTAAATGGACATGTTGTATATAACATACGAAATGTGTGAACAACTTATTTAGTACAAACAAATAAGTGAGTGTATCTCATTTTATAGGTACAAATGGATTGTTCCCCTTTTCTGTAATCTGATTTATCTAAATAACTTATTGAGGTGTATATATACGACATAACTATGCCCATGCATTCTGCAAGAGAGCAGTAGAATTCAAATGTCTTACGATTTATCAAACAACAGCTATTATTGTGTAGGCATTTGTAACCTATGCTATTACAATTACCACTGCCACTTCTACCAGTACTTTCAAGTTTTTCAAACAAAACACATATACACAATATGTTTTGCATATAGTCTTCAATCCAGTTTTAAATCGCAGAGAATAAAGTACCTATTATGGATCATACTCATCTGAAGTTCACTACTTTTAATATGAATGACAATGAGATATATGTGTGAGAGACACCAAGTATAACAAAACGTCCAAAAATTTAAACAATTAGTAATAAGTTGTATCACAGACGAAATAACTCTCAACTTTGACATATGTGAACACAAAGAAAACACACCACAAATACGTAAGCATTATCAAACAGCTGGGACTAGGAAATAGAAAAGGGTATTGAACATCATGAAAGTTTGTTAGTTAACTAAAGATGTTTGAAATTTTTGTCAGGATTCAGGGGATATTGCCAAAAGCAATCTATTAGTCGCACATATAGTCATGATTTCAGTCTGCTTCACAGTTAATACATATCATTTGTTTGTGTATATACTGAATAACAGTAGCCAAAAGTACGAGTAGCATTATCATAGGAACTTATACAAAAGTGTGCATGGAGTGTTTAGAGTAGTTGGTATCTGTTAAGGTGAAAATGATTCATTGCCATTTAAGAAGAGAGTTAGGATAATGGTGCTTCATATCAATGCTGTTGTAGATCATAATCAGCATAATAGTAATACAATTGTTTGTCATGAACGCTGGATGAGATAATGCAAAATAAAAAATTGTCACATCACAACACAGACAAGGTAGACAAAAACAATAATAGTAGCGTTAACCCTGAGATTTTATATATATATATATATATATATATATATATATATATATATATATATATATATATAAAGACAGAAACGGTAAATATGAGCAAACAGACCAGTAAATATACACACAAAGAGACAAAATATTCAAGGAATCTTTTGTGCAGTACAATTAGTTTAACAGAAATGCTGATTTATAAGAATAGAAATGATAACAGCTAGATGACAGTTGCACGTTTCAAGGCTAAAAGGTCTTCTTCGTATTTACGAATAAATTCTTCACGTTCCTGTTGAATTCAAACAAAAAAGGTAAATTTAATAAATTTAAAGTATCCATAGAATTTTAAAGAAATATAATGATGTTAATGATCTTTGTTTGGTGAATAACAGATCTTGTGCGAATCAAATTTATTTAGCGTTCAGTTATGCAAATATACATTTGCATTACTTGAAATTACCTTTCAAATATTACCTAAAAGCTGAATTCAGCTATAGTGGATTTCACTAGGATTAATAAGCATGAGAAGCACTTTCAACTGGGTCTGTTAAGGTTACCAAAAGTGATAAATTATGAAGAACGTCAACTCAATCTAATGCAATATTACAATCAGCTCATTATGTGATTCATGCATTTATACATATGTCTGAACGAAATAACTGTATAGAATATTGTAGTGCATTACATAGTGTGAAAGTTTATATCTGGTTCACGTCAGAATTCTTCTTTCTGACCAAAACTTTGTATTGGTTTTCTCGCGCTTTTTTGATTTTATACATTTACCCTGATGAGCTATTATTACTGAGGCTTATGCCATTTAGTGTTTCTAGATACCAATTTTCATCACCTCATCAAGTGGAAGACAAAATGTCTTTTCTTCGGTATGGATAAACAGCATCTTGTAATACTTGTTCACAATCTAATTACATGATTTACTACTTTTTAGCTGAAAATCTATTCTGAACGTCAAAACTGTCCAATTAGTACATTTTCTGTAAAGCAGGTACTGGATCATAGCAAATTTAACATTTTTACTTTTACAGACTTTAATCACTCAGTCAGCTGCTGTTACACATCATCTCCAAGGTACATCTGAAATTTGTAGTAACTATGATTAATTCACGAAACATATGCAATTCTGATGAGAAGTCAAGATAGTCCTCTGGTTTTGAATGACCTCGACTGGGTTTATCAGTATAAAAAACATACACGTTTGTTTTTATATATTGTCACAAGATGAAACAAAATAATTCCTTGTTTATATGAACGGAATAGTAAAGGTAAATCTGTGATTTTTCCGCTGAAAAGGTTTCCATAGATCGATATCAATAAAAATAAATGCAGTCATTCGGATAAACTAATGATGAAATAATGAATGATAATAAGGTGTGGCTGTATACGTTTTGATCATAGTAATGAATTAAACAATGATTAAAACTTAGTTGAGCCTAATGTCTGGCGTAGTCCCCCTTAAAAAATTACTATTACTATTGTAACAGAAATATGTTTATAGTGTAGTGGGCGTTGCTGATCAGAATGGATATAAGTAGTATATGTTGAGAGAGTGGTAGAAATCATAAGGAATTTCCAGTAATGGGTAAAGATTCTGCCCAGAAAAACGCAAGGGCCAATGTGGGCATATTAAGAGCAAATAAAAAAATACAACCAGAAGAGAAAATGAAGCACACTATACAAATGACTGTCTTAGTGGAAGGTGTACAATATGTGATGACAACTGTACTGTACTGACAACTCCATCTTGTCGTTTACTACAATAGTATTTCAACAGCACAAAACAAAACACCAGAAAAAGACAATTGAAATACCAATATATTTTAGTGTATCAATATGGTGTTAATAAATTGTTCAGGTTGAAGAAGTTGAAACTTAGTTTGAATTTGGGATCGACTGATTGAAAGTCAAATACTTGAGCAAATGAGCCATATGACTTCAATATCTCAATATTAAGAAACTTTAGATCCTTCGCTATCTTCGATGCGTATGATATGAAATTATTATTTTTGTTATGAATTATAGCATAGTACACTGAATGATACAAAACTAGATCTCACTGTGAAAATGTGGTTTCTAAGCTTTAACGCCACACACATTATCAGTGGAAAGTCTAACATTTCTGTGTAATAGTACAACTTGCTAAAATTCAGATTAATACATCAAAATATAAGGCAACGAAACGTGGAAGAAAAGTAAACTTTTCGGAAGTTCTACACAGCCATAACAGTAAAAAAAAGAAATGAAACAGAAAAGGAAATGTAACACCGAGAATTTGATGAAAATAAGATGGGGATGCATCTGTGACACCACGATTGATTCGGAATCATGTAGCCCAGTTTCCAGCCATCGATCCTAGGTCTCATATAACCCCAACTTGAAAGCCTTCATTCTCTGATACAGATAACCAAAGACTTTACAGACTGGTGCCTGGACCTAATCTATCCATCCCTAGCTTTTTGTAACTTATCCCTACTTCAAATAACAAGTAGAGATAAGTGGTGAATATTTATAGGTAACACATGTCCCAGCTGCCAAAGTTGGTGAACGTTCAACTACTTTACTCTTTTTATCAAGTACTTTATGCGGAACCGCATCATCGTTCCCTTTGTGGTTCCCGTAGACGAGAGCCGTTCTATGGAGGAAAAACTTACAACCCCTTTATTTCTCCTACTTACCACAAAAATATCTGTTATTGCTTAGAACAGACCAAAGTGATGCACAGCACACTCGATATCTTGTTTTGAACACTGGTAGCTGGGATGAAAACATAAATATATCAGCTATGAAAGGTTGGATAAAAGTCAATAATCTAAGTAACAGTATGTTTTTCTCATCACCACTAACGTACTAAAGTACATAGAGAAGTGAAATCATTGACTGTTTGCTTAAACTATGCAGGGAAATTTTAGCTACCTATCTGCAGTACTATGAAGATTAGGAGGCAGTTTAGGCCTAGTGATACAGTTTATAACTCTTATCAAAAATATTTCAACTCTCTATTTATATCATTTTTCTTCACTTATTATCCCCTATTTATTTCAAAATTCTTCGAATTTTGTTGTTTGATATCCTTTATAGCAACGGGAAATCACAAGTATCAATAAACAACAACTGATACACAAGGGGTGATTCTCGTGCCCACTGGCCTAGTGGATAACGCTTTGGCGTTTGAAGTGATGAACACGAGGTTTGAGTCTCAATGAGAACGACATCACACACTTCAGTGGAGGTGTATCCAACTGACGAGTTTCAAATAAGGCATGCGCGTCCTGGATTCCATTGCTGGTCACCAAAGTGCATACAGTTCCTCGATTTCGTTGACTTACAGCCATCGAGGCTGTTGTGAAATGCAGTTAGCCGAACAAATGCAGTTTTGTATAAGGTTGTACATTGCTGAAATGGTCTACTTGTTGGTTCGAAAGAGAAACCCAGACAAATAGGTTCGTTCATTTATGAAGTCATATTGATAGATTTCTTCAAGAATGTTTCCACATAGATTAGATATTTCATTTGTATAAATTCGACGGAAACACCATATAATGATAAAATTAAGATGAAATGTTTTGAAATAATAAGCAAAACAAAACGATTCCTTGCAGGATTAAATATTCAAACAAAGAATCGTATAGTCAGATGTAATCCAGTTGGGAAATTATTCTATGATTGATCTCTTCTTAAGATAAAATGTTAACATAGATATTTGGTCAACTTTCAAACAGAAATGGAATCAGGAATGGCAGAGAACATCATTTGGCACTAACTACTAACCGATATGAATAAAATCCCACTATTAGACAGTGAGTGGGTCAATAGGATAAATCTTACAAGACTTTGAAGTTTTACAAAAGGTATTACTTTATTCCTACAAAGTTTATGACAATTTTTCTTCAGAAGTCAGTGAGTAAACTTGTTCAACAACTCTTTAGAATAAAAAACACTCAGTACAATAGACTTATTCTCGCTAAAGTGTAATAAATTGACTATTTTAATTTTTATACATCTATGTGAAAACTTTTTCACCAAAATAACTGTAACGAATAAACTGATGGCAAAAAAGAACAGCTCATGTATTATTCATCTGGACAAAGCTTTATAAATCCTATGGCTGAGTGATAAAAAAAAAGTACAGTAGAGATGGAGAATGAATACTGAACTACAGTGAAGATGATAATAATACCAATATTAATAATAATGATGATGATGACGATAATGATAATAATAAAAACACTCAAAAATATGTTTAACACTATGAACCCATAAAACTATGACATTTTTCAGTTAGGTAAGACAGAAATGGCAAACAAAAATTATTCACAAGAAGAAAACATTATCAGAAAGTCAAACATTTCTTCAAAAATATGTGCCTTACCTTTTTAATACCATTAATAACTTCTTGTTCTTCTAATGTATGGCGTTTATTCAATTCTTGTGTTTGCTTATCATGTCGTTGAGCTTGTAATTTACGTTGATCAATAAATCTTTTTGTATTATAATCATTTAACTCTCGTATACGACGATCACGTTCAGCTTTATTACGCAACTTGCGATCATTCATTACGGAACGATTTGATTCAATTGAAGCTTTTGTTTGTTGAGCTTTCATTTCTTTAATTTCACGATCTTGTATTATGCGTAGTTCACGTTTCTGTTCTTCTTGAACTTCTTTAATGATCTAATAATAATGACAGTAGTAGAAATAATAGTGATGATAAATATATACTTGAGATTGAGAAGAGTAACATTATTACAATATGAACATCGTGTTTCCTTTTGCAACACTTGTATTATTAATTAATAATATATAAAGCTTCTGGAATAAATGTCTAAAAAAATCTCAGTTTTTGGGATCAATTAAGGTGTAATGATCATACAGTAAGCGGGTTAAAAAAAACCCAGTATATTTACGTCCAACAGTTAAAATATAGACAATACAGTCTTCTCCTCCGTAAGTAGTATTAATAATATGGATTCAATAAAAATTTTTGGACTGATAAAACATTGTAATGCAATGCTCAGATAACCAACCCAGTTTCTAAAAGTAGCTTCAATAGGAATTTAGTACCTTAACATACTTTGCTGTCATAATCATTTATTAATAAAATGCCCTAAAATCATTTTCATTTTCCAGTATATATTTTCTACTCACTCAGTCAGCAGTAGGGAAAAGAGGAGAGTTAAGTCACTCTGTTTAAAAAATAATAACGGCTTTATATTCAAGTAAAAATTATCACTACAAGGGGAAAATAAGTCACTGAACTCGTAAGTAAATATGTTATTTAAGCATCACCCGGCTTTAACTTTGGGTTACCAAAAATTTTCCAACTAATTTATTTCATCAAATCCATCCCTTTTAATTTGTAGTAATCTTATAAATATCTTTTAAACGCATCAAGTACCCTTTTGCATTTTTAAAATAGTTCCAAACTACCGTTTTCAAGCTAACAGTGAAACAAAGAATAAACAGTACACCGGTAAGAGATGGGCTTATAAATGCAAAGAAATACAGTATATTACTTTTCCTTGGATAATTATATCGAATCGCAGATTTTGACACTGACTGAACAAACTATCACCATCAAAATTAAGCTTAATATTCTTTTCATTCACCAGTCTAAACCAGATGTTAATGTAATACCAAGTGCTTGTTTCCCACTTTGGCTTTTATTATTGTTATTATTGACATTATTCAAATGCAATGATTATTTCGCTGAAAGATATTGTACATGGAATTAATTTGTTAGACAATTACATACTGGGGATTCCATACTGTACCCCATGTGTTGTTTTTAAAAAGCTACTATTATTATTATTATTGAAGTTTTATTGTAACAATATGATCAGAAAATAATTTACTTTACCATTTGATTCCTAGATTCTACAAAATAACTATTCATACTATTATGTCAGATCATGAAATGGATATTTTATAAACTTTATACTGGTAGATATATGTTAGAAAGAATAGGACTTCCCAAGATAACTTCCTGCTAGTGGTTTAAATACGCCGAATAATTAATTATACGAGGTTATGCAAAGCAAGTAAAGACTGAGGTAGAGTAACAAACAGAATAAAATATGACTAAATGATAAATGGAATTCACTTGGTTGCGGCTAACAGAGGAACCTAGGACGCGCGTTTCGTTTTACTTGAGACTCATCTGCTGGCTTTACCTGCACCATAGTAAGTGTTGTCCCCACTGAAACTCGAACCTCGTACCCATCGCTTCAAACACCAAGGCGTTACCCACTAGGCCACTGAAGAACGATAGCCACCTCTTGCACAACGGGTTATAGTTATTACTATTTGTATACACTTGTGATTTTCCGTTGCTTTACTAGATTGAAATGATAACAAGAATATCTAGAATGTTCCGTTTTACATGGTGGTCATAGCAAAGAACCGTATTAGTTGTATAAATTTCTAAATGTCTGGTGTTTCAGATATGTCCAGCATATCCTATCCTCACTTTTTTTGAGTGGTCTCATTGAACTTTAAATAAGGATTTTAAGAGTTTCTCAAAAAAAGACTGAGTTCCATGATCTATACAAATTACTATGCATCTTTATGCTCCTCCTTTTTTTATGAAACTGGTATTGATCAGTGATTCGAATTATATCACATGGTTTAAGAATGTCTAACTGAAGGTTTCTCAATCCGACAGTAAGCCTATTTCTCTAAATATGTGAGACAATGATGAGAAGGGCAGAATTTTGCGTTTTATAGTTGTTCAAATAGGGATTTTCAACACTAGTAATTCGTGTTTTAATATTACTTAGATACTGATAACAATGGCGAAAACGAAATCCATTCAGTTTTTGCATACTTTCACCAAGGTATATCATATCCGTACTGTACATCTTAAACACCATAATGCATGTAATACTGAGAATTATTTTTTGGTTGATAAAATGACGCTTCTCTAAAGAGTTCAAACTAAAAGTCAGTAACTACTTACACTGATGACATTTCTTGGTATAATCACGCTAAACTTCCTTCTAACTTAACATTACATCAGTCAATACTCAATCATGAATAGTGGTGGCCTGAAATGCTTACTAAATGTTATAAACACTTTGACTGAACCAGGGTTCATAACTTCAAACTAAGCTTTCGTATGCGGAACTTTGAGCCTCGCAATGAAGTTTCTCAGTCCATAACTCCACTATGAGCAAGTAACATTATGAAAACATCTTTGGTGCGAAACCTGTAACTCCCTGATGTTACAGTAAGCTTGTGAAAGGCTGCATGATTTCAAGAAGATCTATAGATACTTAATTAATACAGTTGTTCGGTATTTGCTTTCTCGTCAGACATTTTCAATAGGTTTTTTGACTGACAGAGTGAGGTTCCACCTTTAGCTTATAAATGAGGGTTCCGGTAAGGGATAGTAAGCGAAAATCTGATTAACCCATTCTATTTCACTGCTATGATATTTTTGAGCTCCATTTACGCATTAAATAGCATTGCAACCTACGATCTAAGATACTGTGTTAACAAGGGAGAAAGATAATTTTATATACATAAGTAGTCCTATTCCCACTAAATGTTCACAGACTGTAGAATAAAGGAAAGCAAAAACTCGTATCCTGAGTAAGTTGAATTTTGTGTGATAATACATCTATGAGTACGAATAATTAACATGAATCCTCACATATTTACTAAGATACTTTCTATTGTCCAGTGAAGAAGAAAAGTGTTAACATCACTTGTTACAAACAGTCTGTCAGAGATGATTCTATACAGAAAGAAACAAACAGCACAGCCATTTGATGCAACCAACAATTGTACAATGTTTCCGACAATCTCACAGGGAACCTTTGTTCAACAGATGGAAATGACTTCTATATAGTTAAGCGTAAGTAAAATGCATCTAAGTATAGACATAGAGAAAAAGAGAGATGAAAAGAGACAAAAAACAATGAAAACATAAACGCATTCATTACCTTGATCAACAAATCTTTGCGTGCATCAAAAAAACTAAGCACTAAATCGTACACTTCCTTCATTTGTGTTGATTTAAGGCTACTCCACTGATCTGTATGCTGACGTACGAGTTCACACATCTATAGAAATAAAAGAAATAATAAATGACAAAACAAAGTACCATTTAACACGGTATTAAAAAGATAGGTGAAAAACTTGTCATTCTAACTCTAATTTAATACATTGGGAAATTGAGTAATGATACTGGTTTTCACTAGCCTTTATTTTCCTTGGATTAGTAAGACTACATATATAATTTTGCAAATCGAAAATTCCAGTTTTCCACTAAACTAAATTATACGATTCTTCCCTTTCATGAGTTTGAATAAAGCGAGAAGAACGATAGTATCATAATTAGCCTCCATGGATTTTGTGGACTCTCTTCAATTGCTTTACAACCTGTAGAATATCGTATTTAAGATAATAAAAAACAAGGCATACAACTTACTTTCGTAAATCTGTTAACCTTTTATTACACTTAATTAGTCATGGCGTCACTTTTTACCAATTGTAGAATAACGTTGTGAACAACCTCCTCCCAATATAGAAGCTCACATACTCATTATAAGATGAACAACTTCCGAAACTGTAATTAACAGCGAAAAGATTTGATCTACTCGCAAGTTGGCTGAATACCTAGAAACCCACAGCAGCATTTACGGGAAAATCGTTGATAAATACTCTCTCTTCTCTATCTCCCTCATTAACATCATATACAAAACACACTACCATATATATATATATATATATATATATATATATATATATATATATATATATATATGGTGTGGACGTTACTGAATAAAATGATCATGAAATTAATTTTATAAACCAACCTGATTACGATGAGTATCTTCCAGCGCAGCATTTTGACCATTTTCCCTGAATACAGATAATATATTAAAATACATACTTCAGTATTACAGAGAATTACACAACCAATGAAAAAAAATAACAAGTCAGATTAGCAACAATACAGGGAAAATAGAAGAGGTTGAAGATCAACAGACTATTGCCAGAATAATTGCTGGTTTTAAGACCTATGTTAATCAAGTTTAAGACAAGGGTAAAGATGGTTCATACAGTATGCTTTATTATATACTGACAGTGATTAGATTTGTCACCATAGTAATAACAAGGTGTAATAATATATTTTCCACTTTTATTTCAAATAAACATCCCTCCTACATATTAATAATATTAACGTGGCAGAAGTATGTTGCACAAAGAGGAATTTCTTTGAACTACTTAACAAGTAATCTCATTTATGCTACACCTCTTTTATATGCATATTAGCAACACAGTTGTGGTAGTGGTAGGATTATTAGTAGTGAGCAATCAAAAAAAAATTAGAGCTCAAATCGTAAGAACTAATCGAGGACTTCTATGTTTTAAATATTGAAAATTAACAGTTGGGCAGTAGAAAGTACCCACAGAGTTGTGATCAAATCTATTGGTGTATACCAAAAAAAAAAGAACACATTAAAGTACTTGTTTTACTTGCTTAGAAAACAACTACCTTATAATACTTAATCTATGGGAGATAAAAGAATATCAAAGGTAGATATACCAGGAAAACCTTTACATGTTCATTACGTCGGGAACTGGAGGTTGGTCATTGAGTAGGCATTTTGGAAAGTATACATCTTTTATCTTACTACTATGTTAATGGAAATTTCGTTGAAAAAAATTACTTTCTTTGATTTTCGCCTCAAAAAGTACGTACAACAACGATCAAAAGAAAATGCAATTTATAATATGAAAATCTAAAGCCGTACATTTTTAAAAGAATAAATATAGGCTAATAGTAAACTTGTGTTAATTAGTGCCAATATAACACACTCTGATTAACTCACATAACAACTTTATTATTATTCTCTTAAACAGAGTTTTATATAATTCATACATGTTCAATAAATTTCAATATCAAAACCTGATAAAGTTAAGCAAATAAAAGCAGTATATATGTGCTACATTCACTATCTTACATACTTTAACACATTGACATAACTAATAATATTGAGAAATAACTATTTAGAAAAGGATTGATTGGGCGAAGACAAACGAACACTGTACGACATGCAATCCCCTAAACAACGAAATGCTGTCAAGTTTTCGCTTGCATACACAACAATAAGCGCTTAAACTAAATTTAAACAAAACTGGTCATTATAATGGTTGATGCACACATCAAGAAATATTCAATTTATAAACAGATGAAGATGACAGGAAATATTGCCATCATTCACTAGAGTTTATCGATGATAAAAATATGTACTGATACTGGGTGATGATTTGAAGGTGAAATAAAAACTTGGGTCACAGCAGGATTCGAACCAGTGGCCATCGAGGTTTCCGGCCAGGCACTTTACCAACTAAGCTGCGATAGCCAACTGCTGATCGGATTTTAATTTCACTCCAAACACTAGGATATCATAGCTCAGTTTGTATAGCAATGTGAGCTGGAAACCTGAGGATCGCCAGTTCAAAACCGTCTGTGGCCTAGATTTCCATTTCACCTTCAATCACCATCCAGAAGCAATACAAACCTACCAAACCACCGCTATCTCAGGTAGTCAAGATGATAGTCAATATGTAGGTCAAAGAATTTAGCAAAATAACCAAAAATACTTCTAAATAGGATATTTGTTACAATTGTTTTAGAAAGATATCTTACGCGTAAATTCATCAAAACAAAAAACCGGTTTATTCAATTGTTACATCAAAAATAACTAAGCGACAAAGAGATAGCAGGGAAAAAGTGACAAACAAAACCCGTGGTTGACGTTCCACCACTAATTTTATACTTTTTTACCACTTCTTCCAGTGTAAATTAAGACTCGAAAAGAGAGGTATCTTATAGCGGTCACCAGAGAAGCAGAAAAAGACCGAAAAGTTTTCAGAAGAATGCGCTAAAAGGATGAGTAAGTGAGGTAGAAAGGAGAAAGAGGGGGAGAGAGAATGTTATGACATCACGAATACAGGAAGGCGGTTATTTGCTCGTGCAGCTAGCTGTTCAACAAAAAGTAAACTATTGTATAACTGTCAGTATTTTAATCCCCCAAATGACAGATTTAACTTTTCCCGACTTAAGATATTGGCAACAACCTTTGAAGCGTATGATAAACTCAACTTATACCTCACTAAGCTGTATCCAAAAAGGTTATTTGAGGTAAATTATGAAGAGTGAATACATACTCTAAAGTTTTACAGTGTATATTTAATTAAAAAATTATCAAGTGACTTTATGTGTGAAGCTAGATTAAGATACGATCAGTTTCCAGGCCTCATAATGACAATTAGTGATAGGAGATAAATCGAGAGTCGTTGGATGGAATGAAGAGTGAATAAAAACAAAGAGAAAATGGAGATAAGTATCGTTACGTAAAAATCTTGGAAAAGATGAAAAAATTTAATCATCATACTTGTAAAGAAAGAGGTCAAGAGTTAAACTCCATAGTACTATGTCCACTACAAATTTCAGTAGGCTGTAACTAACCTAATAGCTACTCATTTCCGACACCTATTATATAGTCTCTGTTAAGTAGATGGTATTTAAGATGTGTGTTGATGGGCTCTAGTTCTTTAAGATGTAGTTTTTTAAAACTGTGTTCATTTATTTTATTCCAGGTATCAATCCAACTCGTAAAGTGCCTTCGAAATGCTACCACTATCCTGTACTCTATTTTCACGCTTCAAATTACTATGTTGATCGCTATTTAGTGTACAGTTTTAATATATATGAGCACATATTAGTTTCTAACGATTCCTCCGTTGTGCTTTGTACTAAATGTCGAAGAAGGCAATGAAACACAATGAATGTATCGTATTGAACAAACTTAGCTTTCTTGGTCCAAAGTAATGAAAAGAAACTAAGAAATTACCAGTTGAATACTGAATATTCCAGAGGATACAATAAAGTTGACAGAGGAGTCAAGAAATATAAGTTTGAAGATTAGTGGTTCTTGTATGAAGGACAAACTACCCATACTAAAAGTCATCACTAGAATGATTCCACATCAGAAAAAGTTACAAGTGTGACCTGTTTCGGTGTGCGTTTTTCTTCTGATCTTTCACGGTCCTTCTATATCTCACTAACTTTAAAAAAATCTTCCACCTAACCTTCTATGTAAGGAAGCTGAGAATATTTGGTACAACTCAGCCTCTTCCTCATCTTGCCCATTCTTTTCTATTGGTACCCTTTTATTGGGTTACTGAAAAAAGATTATTCTGTATTGCATAGAACTTTCAAGCCTTGTAATAGAAACTCATGAAAAAGGCTGGTATGACATTTTTTTGAGATGACCAGCAACCTCTTTATATTCCAGTCCTTATGCAAGACCAGTATCAAGTACATAAGACTTCATGTAAGTGTTATTAAATACACAAAAACTCTATCATACCTTATTTAGTTTGTAGTCTGTGTGAGGAAGAAACACTTCGAAATTTACTAACTAATCAACTCTCTCTTGAAGCAAGTTAATTAAAGGCCATACAGCTTACTGTTATATATATATATATATATATATATATATATATATATATATATATATATATATAATATCTGTTTGCCTAAGTTAACTTTGGCTTTTCAGAAAAGTTGTTGATGGAGTAAATTATTTTTATTTTTGATATCAGCATAATTTTCACCCCATTTTATTATCTATACATCTAAACTATTTCTGTCTAGTTGATGCTATTTGACATGCTGAAAATTCTGTACAGTATTACCGAAATATCTTACAGAGTAAAGTTATTATTAATATCAACATTTATTTTGTATTTTGAAGGATACATATCCAAAAGGTTGAGATTTTATAGTTAATTCTTAAGCGAAAAGCAACAAATAAGTTGTAAAATTATGTACTCAGTAACTGAGTTTCTACGATTTTTAAATGATTTCACGTATAAAATTCAAAGCACCTGAATTCTCCCTCCTTAAGTGGGTTTGTGACTGGAGTATAGAAATATAAATTAAGCAATTAGTTTTATATAAACTTAAGAATAGAAACATCATTTTGAGGAAGTGACAAATATCTGTTTTATGGATCATACATAAAAAATCCCTTCAGTTTTTCAAATTGATCAGTAAACTATGATGGGATATAAATTATATTTAAACAAGATAAATAACTTAAGAGTGCTTAATACAAATTCATATCGATGAAATTATCAATTGGTTTGAGGAATAGGAAATCTTTGGAGTAACTGCTAGAGTACAATAGAAATACAGACTGAAATGGTTTGCAAATGAATTGCGCATTCCAAGCCACCACCGACTCCCATAGGCAATGTTAGTCATAGTAAGTTTGGGTGGAAAAAAAGTTGATAGTGGCTGGAAGCCAAGAAAGTTATCGATTCCACTGTGCTTGGTAATGATCCAAGTCTACCAATCAAGCATAAAACTGAGGTTGAGGTTCTCCTATCGTTTTACTGCTAGCATTTATTAAACAACAGTTTTTTCAAGAAAGCTGTAGGATAACAAAACTTATTGTAGAAATTATTAACATAAGCTGCATGTATAACAACTATGCACCCTATTGAAAAGCACTAATCAAGTTAACAACTGCGTGCAAAATGTACATGCGAATGCTTACGAAGTAAAAATGTTGCATTCTTACACGTCACAAAGAATGCTATGCATCTATATTTCATGCTTATTAGGTTCTAGCAAAAACAAGATGCATCCTACAATTTTTTGGGATACTAGTGACATCTTTATGAATCCGGCTTATATCAGTCAGTCGCATTATCATTCAAACGTTATCTAAGATATTAGGTCAGTAACCTATCCTCTGTCAAACAGAAAAATCAGCGTCGCACAGAAGTAGGTTAGTTCAATTTACCGCAATTTACAGAGGCATGCAAATAGGTGAACAACA